CACTCTGCGTGTACATTTTAAAGTACCATGCAAAGGGCGCGGTTTGAAAATCCTGCGCGAGTGACGCCGTTGTCCATCGTTAGTAATCTATTATAGATTTAGTAATCTATGATATATGGATAATAGACGTGCCGTGTACTTAGGACGTTGCTTTAATGGTGGAGAGTGCACGGAGTCAATAATACATCGTGGCTCGCGTCAACGCGAAGTCACTTTGCGTCTGCTGCCCGCCTCCTCCCTGTCCAGGGTATTGGTGGGGAGCTCCAGGCCGTAGGTCTGTACCCCCACCCCTGCACAGGGCCGCACAGAATCGGAGTCTTTCAGGATGATGTCTTTATACTGGAGGAATCCGACGAGCTATAAAGCTCTTTTTCATAGCTGTCCATGGGGGGGGGGAGGGGGGCATAGCTCCCACTCCCCTCTGGGGGTCGCTGTGACAAATGCAACAACTTAAAGGCGGGTACGGCACAAGTGGGGATGATCTGGATAGAGCCACCGCCTTTATCTCCCCCAGTGATGATGTCTACACACCACACCAGGTACTGATTTGAGGCTGAGTCGACCGAGGGGAGACCTACAGACGACACACGCGCGTGCACATCTACCGCACACACAAGGGAGAGAGGTTGCAGTCTAACGAGAAACTCGGCTCATGAAGGCCAGGAGCAGTCCTTCATCTTGTTTCATCATCGCATCATCTAATCAGCATCGTTATCTTCAACACCATCATCTAATTAGCATCGCCATTTAAAACACATCGTCACGTGATCATTGAATCCACCTGCACGCGTTGTCTTCATCACCCAAGACTGGACACTGGAAACCGCGGAGTGGAGTAAAGTAACCCCCTCAACCTGGAGCCTGGATTCTGGATCCTCACCCCGGAGTGGAGTAGGCAGCCTCCTCAACCTGGAGCCTGGATCCTCCACCCAGCACCTAACACGTGACAAGTTTGATGCGGGGTAGGGGTCAGCGAATCGGCACGCGTGGTACGCGCTGCGGAGCGTCACCCTGGAGCCAGCGACAGACAACGCACCCCCCCAACGCACCCCCCCCAACGCACCCCCCCCAACGCCACCCCCCCCAACGCCACCCCCCCCAACGCCACCCCCCCCAACGCCACCCCCCCCAACGCACCCCCCAACGCACCCCCCCAACGCACCCCCAACGCACCCCCCCCCAACGCCCCCCCCCAACGCACCCCCCCCAACGCCCCCCCCCAACGCCCCCCAACGCACCCCCCCCAACGCCCCCCCCCCAACGCACCCCCCCCAACGCCACCCCCGTTCCCAACACCGCTGTCCCACGCGTCTCACGACATACGCAGAAACGACAGCACCCCCCTCCCCTCCAAACGGCGGACGACATGAACACGATGACATGAACACGGTGGCATGAACACGAGGGCATGAACACGAGGGCATGAACACGAGGGCATGAACACGATGGCATGAACACGATGACATGAACACGATGGCATGAACACGAGGGCATGAACACGATGGCATGAACACGAGGGCATGAACACGATGGCATGAACACGAGGGCATGAACACGATGGCATGAACACGATGGCATGAACACGAGGGCATGAACACGAGGGCATGAACACGAGGGCATGAACACGATGGCATGAACACGAGGGCATGAACACGAGGGCATGAACACGATGGCATGAACACGAGGGCATGAACACGACGGAGTGGCCTGGTAGTGAAGGCGGACAGCCCCCCACACGCCGCGGCAGAGCCGCTGCCCGTTGAGGCTGCCCGTGTGGGGGCTGCCCGTGGGGGCTGCCCTGGGGGGGGGGCTGCCCTGGGGGGGGCTGCCCGTGCCCCTCGACTCGCGGTGTCGTCACCTCGCCCCGTGCCCAGTGGACAGCGAAGCGCGACTCGGCGCGTCTAAATAACATTCGTCGTCGTCATTGATACTAACTCGGAGCCCTTTGTCAATCCACTGCTGGATGAAGGCATCTCCACACGCTGTGTCAATCACGGGGGGGGGGGATTGTTTGATCACACTTCACCACGCTAAGCAGCGTGGGGTAAAACAAAAACCCAAAGAGGTGGAGGAGGATTGGTCAAGGCCGGTGTGGACATCGCTCGCCACTGACGACAGCCGGGGGCCGGGATTCCAATTTAGCTCGCCGGGTTTCAGGGCGCAGTGCGACGCTAACCGCTGCACCACCGCTCCTCCACCGGTTCACGCGCACAGTGCGATTAACTCAGACGCCCCCACTCACTATTAGTGCAGAAGTCAACATTTCATTTGTAAAGCCTCCTCGCGTCTCCTCCCCATTGTTCAGTATCTGCAACTCGCGGAGCCGTCGCGTTCGAGAAGCCGCAAGCCAAGCGGACGATCCGCGGGGCGCAGTCAGCGGAGCGGCGCTCGCACGAAGCGCACGAAGCGCACGCGGCCGTGGGAAACGACGCCGCGGGGTCTTAAAACAACACAAGCGGGGAAGTCATCAATTACCACCAACACCCATCCGTGCAGCTCACCAAAAACACGCACGCACACGCGACTCCACCTGACCGTAAACACGAGCGAGATCAAGGCAATGAGTCCGGGATTCGAGCAGTCGCGGATTCAGGATCCTCCACCACCGCCGCTGCCGCAAGCTCCCTCACCTGCCAGGTGTCCCCGTGTCCTAGCAACGGCGCTCCCAACGCAACGCGGCCGCTCATCCCTGCGGAGGCCGCCCGAGCCCATCACTCAGCTCGACGTGGCGACTCGTCCATCCGCCTGCGACCTGTCCGGGCTGCCCTCGCGAGCGGCGGCGGCGCCTCTCGCTCCGCTGGGTCCGTGCCGCTGCCGCCCGCGCGCCGCCTCCGTGGGTTTGGGGCTGCCACCTCCGCGGTGCAGGAACACAAACAGCCCGGCAGCAACGTCGGGGTGGGGGGGCTGGAACCTCACAATGGCCGTGCAAGAGGGGAGAACCACGGTGTCAATGAGTGCTGTGCACGGTGTGTTAGAACCACAGTGTGTTAGAACCACGGTGTCAGTGAGCGAGCGCTGTGCACCGGTGTGTTAGAACCACGGTGTGTTAGAACCACGGTGTGTTAGAATCACGGTGTATTAGAACCACAGTGTGTTAGAACCACGGTGTCAGTGAGCGAGCGCTGTGCACCGGTGTGTTAGAACCACAGTGTGTTAGAACCACGGTGTCAGTGAGCGAGCGCTGTGCACCGGTGTGTTAGAACCAAGGTGTCAGTGAGAACCACGGTGTGTTAGAATCACGGTGTCAATGAGCGCTGTGCACCGGTGTTAGAGCCACGGTGTTAATGAGCGAGCGCTGTGCAGCGGTGTTAGAACCACGGTGTCATTGAGCGCTATGCAGCGGTGTTAGAACCACGTCCGTGAATTACCAGGAGCTGTAGGCGTGGGTTACAAGGTAGCCAGGTGGCGGCGGGAGAGCGATGGATTCTTGAATCTATCCGTGTGGAGCGTTGTTACCCGTCGTTATGCCTGGGTTTCCTACTTTGGGTTCCTCATCCACGGGTTTGGATAAACACCGCAATGTCGCCGCTGCACGCATGTCGATCTACTGCTGGATGAGACAACCCCCCCCCCCTCTCATGCCACTTTGGTCACGAGGGTTATTTGACCATACTTGACCATACTTCACCACGCCCGTCGTTGTACTTATCTCGATGGGCCCGCGTCTAAGATGCCCGTCTTCACCAACCTACTCGGACCGGCGTGTCGTGCGGTGAAACAGCCGGCACGGTGCGGGCAGGCCGTCATCCAGCAGCGGATTGGCCAAGGGCTGCGCACGCACCCACGTGCACACATTCTGGAATGCGCCACCGAGACTACCGGGGAAGAAACGATCGCGCAAACAAGACGCAAGGAAGGAGACACGAGGGGAAATGAATTGTTTAAGTGAAATGTGATCCCTCGGGGGACGGTTCATCGAATCCCCGGGGGGGCTGCATCGTTCGATGGCAATACAGTAAACCCCGAGCACCACTCGGGTGCAAGCGTCGATGACGCTAACCGCACACTGCAGCGCGCGTCGTCAACGGGACCCGGACGAGTCCTCGACTACAACTCGGCGAGGCTCTCGGCGGCGCGCTGGGGTTACACACTGCACAGCCGCACAGCCGCACAGCCGCACAGCCGCACAGCCGCACAAGCATCGCTTGGTGAGGCTTTCCCAGATAAATGACTCCCACTTAATCTGCCGCTATCGGGCGGTTAGAAAATAAAAACCAAATCGATCCCATTCTTTTTTTTCTGAGTTTTTTTTAAAACCACTCTCCGTCTCTGCTGCGGCCCCACGAACCAAACGCGGCCGGCTTGCGCAAAGTCCGATGGAGTCACCGCGCGTCAACGCACGGCATCTGCCCGGCAAACTCGGCAGCGACTCCGCGCGGGTCTCTCCGTGGCGCTCCGTGGCAGGCACGGCACAGAGCCCAGAAAAATGCTCTTCGCTCGTGCCAAGTCGCGCCACCGGGAGCTGCAAGGGCTTCCTTAATTGCTGCTAGCAAAGTGCGTTAGCCATATGTCAATTCCGCGCAGTCAACGGCCAATTAAAAACGAGCTCCAAATCTACAGTGCGAGACGGCGCGACGAAGTCCCCAAGCGCAGAGGAGCGAGATGGGGTTGCGCGCAGGACCAGAGGGGGAAAGACACACACACCGGCAAGCGTACAAGCCTTCATCCGGCAGCAGAGAGAGAATGACCGGCAACGGCGACAAGATCCCCAAGTGAAATTAAACGCAGGACGTGGCACGTTCTTGGATCAAATAATTTTAATTATCAGAAAATACATTACCCTGAAATTCCTCACTATGATACAACTATAATTACAGGTATTAAAAACTGCCAAATGTGAATGGATAAGGGTGAGCAAAACACAGTCAAATACCGCAGGGTAATACCGCCGCCATCTACGCGTTACAAAGCGGACCTCCTACAGGGAATACGGTGAAACAGACGACAGCAGCACTTCCTACTGCGAGCGACATTGCTTGAAAGAACCCTCCGGAGCGATGCAAGGCGTGAGCTGCATTTATTTTGAATTATCTTCAAGAGCAGTTTTTGATTTCGCGTGTCCGCTCACGACCGCGGCAAACGATGCCCGACGCACGCACGGCCCAACGTCTCCGCTCCACGACGGGAGCAGGGCCGCACGGTTCAGCGGTTTGCACATCGAGCATGCCACAACACAGTCCCACTCACGCACGCACGCGCACACACACACTAACAACGAACACGAGATGTAACAACACCGTGCCACTTAATCGGTTTGACAACGGCACAGACTCGCATCATTGCTTTGGCGACGTAAATACGCACGCTTGATCAGGAGGGTGCGTTTCCTCCGGAGGGGGCGGTGAAATAAATACAACGGTGAAGTCAACGGAACGCGGCCAGCGACGGCGTAATAAACAACAGAAGTGGTTGTCCCCGCTTTGGAAGCTGCTCTCAGGATTGCGAGCGTGCAGCGCGACGATGACCCTCGGCCCGTGAGCGCCGTGTCCGCCGCTCGCCGCCCCGCGGCCTTCGGCTCCGGAGCTCTGGGCCCTCGATGACGAGACGGCCGAGGTCGCCGTGCGGGAAAGAGGTGGACAGGAGGTGAACGATCGGTCACCGCCAGCGTTGCCACTTCCGCCACGTCGACCGGACTGCGGCGGACGAGGCGGAGGCTATTTTGAGAGCGACGCGGTGGGATTGAAAATAAAAATAAACGCGAGGCCGCAAAACAGAGGCCTCCGCACGCATACACACGCATATGCACGCATACGCACGCATACGCACGCGACAACAAAAACCGACGACGGCAAGAAACACCGAGTGCGCACGTCTGAGAGGAGCGTTCCACACGACGCGATGATGATGCCAGCAAGCCAAACCAAGTGCAAGGACCGTCCAAACAAATACTGCCGCGCGTGCGAAAGCATCACCACTTGAAAAGGCAATAAAACGTAATAGCATTGTCCCTTTGAGAAAACTGCGGGGAAAGGAGAAAAAATAAGAGCATTATAAAAGTAAAATCTGTTTCAAAACCGGCCAAGGTCGCCGCACGGCCCTCGTCGTCCACGGCGAGGTTTTTGTCTTCGGCACCGGCGCGCGGCCTCCCCACCACCGCCCCCCTCCACCCCCCCCCCCCCACTTTCCCCCCACCTCCCTCCACCCCGCCGGCTGGGATCACACTTCAAGGAAGGATCCCCCCCCGTCGTGCTTGCGGGAGAACAACCTCCTCCGCTCCACCGCCTTCATCACCTCCGACGCGATCCACACGGTCGACGTCAGCCCCAGCAGGAAGAGCAGATCTGGCGGCAGTGTCAACACGAGCGCACAAAGACAAAGATCTCCCGTGTAGCATTAACGCACCGTTGGGGCAAGTGCCGATAGCGAGCACCTGGAAAGGTCGGCATGCACACAATCACATACGCATGTGCATGCGCGCATACACAGTTACACATACGCACGCGCAAACAATAAACGAACGAATTATTGATTTAATTTGTCTAGAACTCAGGCAGGTACCAATGGGACTACCACTCTTTCGTAAAAAGGGATGCGATAGACAACTGGTCCTGGGAGTAATGAACAGTGTGGCTCTTATTTACAGCCAGATGAGCGCACGTTGATCTGCTGCCGCCACTACCAGCCCGGGATAGCGCTGCTTGCGGCAATGCGAGGATGAGCTGTCATCTCAAATATCAAAATGTTAAAATACCGCAAGCATGGCAAGCTGATTAAAAGTACGCAAGTCTCTGAAACCGTAACGCCACGTAGCGCCCCTCCCCGCGAGTCAAGCGGAGGGGAGAGGTTTCATCTATGCTGCTTTCTGCTAAGCCGCAGGGACGCCACGGGCGGCGGAGATAAATTATTAAAATTACCGAGATTTTCTTTCAACAACGATGGCAGGCGACATGCGGGTGGAACACTCGGCTAAGCACTTCGGAGGGGCAAATTGTTCTGCTGCCAAGAGGGCTAAGTTGGAAATATGTTTTCCAAACTCTCTTTTCAAAACTGGTTCAGAAGAAATGACGGCTGCTGCTGAGACACGTCGTGGTGGAGGGGGTGGGCAGAAAGCAACTGCCCCTTTTGCACCTCTGATCCTCACACAGATGCACACGTCGTCAAACGCACGCACGCCACAGCCTGGCACGCCACCAACATACATAACGACACACGGGCACACACACAACCATGCTGACACATTGCCAACACGTACACACAGTCAGATACGCACAGCGCAGGCATGTCATCGCACACACACACGCGACCAGACACGCCACCAACACACCGACACAAAGACTCACAATGACACACACCAACACACTGACACCCACACACACCATCACATAGCTACACACACCCGCTACGATGACAAACAGACATGCCACCAGGGCGGGCGGTAGGGGATGGGGGCGGCAGGCACGGCGGTGGCACCGCCACGCTCTCCTCTTACCCACTGCGCTGAGGTTCTCCGTCTGGAACACCTGCTGCAGGGGCGGGAAGTAGATGACGGCCATCTGCCCCATGATGCTGCCCCCGACCGCGTAGCAGAACATGCGGTTGCTGAAGAAGCCGCTCTCGAACACCGACTTGGTCTGCGGGCGGCACGGACGGTCGCGTCAAGAGCCGCCGCTCGCCGGCACACCGCACCCACCATACCCCACCCCTCTCTCTATTTCTCTCGTGCCACCTACACCAATCTTGCCTCACTGAGAAAATATTCAGTGAGGAATTCAAAACCTGGCCCCTATATTCTCACAATCCTCCGTAAATCAAAGAAGATTTCCCACAAATTCTCACTGTCCAGAAAGTAGTGGGATTTTATTGAGAAGGAAAATTAAAGGGATGACATAAGTGACTTATTAAGCTGATTGTGCGGCCATCTGTGCGGACATAATGCGAGAGAAACTGCCAACACACGACGATGCGTCCTCACGCAGCAAGCGTGGCCGTGTTGATTGCCTCTTAAAAAGTGTTTGTGCAGTCATTGACCCTCGATGAGTAAAGAGCAGCCGGTAATGAAACCAGCTCGCGCGTAAAAACATTTCACCGATTATCTTTTTGGCAAGCGCGGTTAATGCGCAGCCCCCGTGTGTGTGCGCGGGGGGCCCGCGCTGGGTAACCTGCGAACGCGAGCTCAGGGCGTTGAACATGTCGAAGAAGACGAAGCAGGTGAAGGTCATGGTGGTGTCCCGGGGCGTGATCATGTTGTCCTGAAGCTGCATCCGCGCAGGGTGAGAGGAGCGGCGGCGTTACCTTCCGAGCGGCGGGGGCGCACCGTTGCCAACGCGGTCATCAATTTACGCGCGCGCCGTTATTAACGACGGTTAATTTTGATTACGAGCGGAGCGTGGTCTGGGAGGGAGCGACGTGATTTATGGGAGACGCCACGGGTGCGTGGCACCCTGCTCCCCGCGCGCAACGATCGTAAACCGCGGCACTGCGACCGCGGCGCCAGCGTCGCGCACGCAGATGGATGGGGACCGGAAGGAAACGCGCTCGCGCCTCCGTAGACTTCCGCGGGCAGCCCTCACCTCCCTCCAAAACACGAAGAGGGTTCCCGAGACGATGATGATGGCGGAGATGAGGATCTTGGAGATGAGGCTGCGGGTGAGGATGCTGTCCTTGACGTTTCTCGGAGGCTGCCGGATCACGTCCTTGTCGACAGGCTCTACGCCCAGACTGCATCGGCAACAACAAATACACGCTCGTTACACAATACAATTACACAATACAAATACACAATACCAGCATACAATTACAACACAATGTGGAGTCGTAGAGTGCAGTAATGCTCAACCATGTTGGTACGGCGGTCCCCCGCCCCTTCAGCCGCCACACCAACCCCCCCCCCCACCTTCGTCTTAGCTGCGAGGGTCACGGCACGTAGTGATCACATGTACACCGAGTCGACGCGGTGCTGGCAATGCAAGTGTTTCACGTTGTGTGTCAGTGTGTTTTGTGTTTGTTTCTACGAGTCTCAATGTTGTTTATATGCAAGTCCATGCGTCTCAACACGAGTTTACTGTTCTCCATGGAAATCTTTGTGAGCCGATACAATTACGCGACGCGAACTTATGTGGCGTCTAAAAGCTCCCCCCAAAAACACACCGGTGTACGCGGGCTCCACGGTCAATGTGCCCACGTCACTGCGGGCGTTAAAAGCAAGAGTCCGGCAGGGATCGGCCCGGTCGTGACGCGCGGCCAGAGTCTCGCTCGCCGGCGACGCCGCGACGCGAGCGAACGGGCAGGTACCTCTGGGCGGGCGGCCCGTCCATGATGATGTTGATCCACAGGATCTGCATGGCGTTGAGCGGGTTGGGGAAGTTCATGAGCGTCGCCAGGGTGATTAGAGTCAGGGCGGCGATGCTCCTGCAAAGCACGGCTCACCGTCAGCATCGTCACCGTCACCATTAACATCGTCAACATCGTCAACATCGTCAACATCGTCGTCATAGCTAGTCGGCCAACAACTATCCACTGCTATTCATCGCTTGTCAAGTCTCAATCCCTCTTGCACCTGCACTTGAGATAATTTAACGGAGAGCACATCGACTGCAGAGACGGAGCAATGAGATCAGCTCGTGCGCAGGTGCTGGTCGCAGCGTCACAGTGCAGGATCGTGGCGAGACGGTGACGGCTTTAAGAGGCCTTCATCCAACAGCGGACCGATCACGGCTGACGATGACGACGGCGGCGACCTCTGCCGTGTTTAGCCGTCGGTAAAGATGACGGATAAAACGAGACGCCCAGCCGGGCAAAACCGCCCTCATTAAACCGAGCGGCGCAAAACAAAGAGAGAGGATTTTTTTTCCCTCGTTCCTTAAACACGCTTTCCCCTCCAGCGACGGGCGCAGCGCGCGTGGCGCCGGGGTCGGCCCTGCGTGGGCTGCGCCACCTGCTCAGAGTCGATTACCGCACCCAATTATCCCGGCATCACGCGCGACCCCTGCCCTCGTCGACGTGACGATCGGGGCGGCCGCGGCGAGCGGCACTTATTTATGAAGTTGGAGCGGCGCCTCGGAGGACGGGCGGGCGGGCGGGCGCGGAGAGGTCATCCCGCAAACGAGGCCGCGCAAAATAAATTACACGACTTTAAAGCGCTCGACGTACGTCCAACCCCGGCGATGTCAAACGCCGCGATCCACAACAACAACAACGACAACGGTGGCGCTTTCCATTTCGCACGTTTTGTATTTTTAGCTCGAGGAGTTTTGCGACTTGCTGTTCCACGCGATTAAGTTGCAACGTGCACGATTTGCAAGCGCTTGCGCGAGATTGGAGGTTGTCAAGGTACTCTGTTATTTTAATGAAGCGCAGATAAAGAATGCAAGATGAGCTGATGGATCGCGATGTTTTGGCCACGGACGTCTCGAAACAGACTCATCAGTCATTAGCTGTGCGGGAACCAGCAGAAAATGTAATTCGTGTTCGCGTAATTAGGGCATTTATCTCGTTGAATTATGACCACCCTCTAACAGTGCGTTCCGTCTGCAGATGCGTCCCGTGTCCGCTGAGAAACAAACAAACATGACTCACGTGCTCAGCTGAAATCTCACAAAGTTCTTGATGTTGTAGAAGATGCCCTTCCCTTCCTCGATGGCGGACCTGCAGGGCAAGCGCACGGCGCAGAGACCAACGTCATACGCACCGGGTAAGACAGACAGACAAACACACTGAGACACGGACACAGACACGTGCACACGCACGCACGCCGAGGGGTGCACAATTTAGTTGTCCTTCCCCCGCACCTCTGATTAGCACGGTTGGCTACGTATGGTGCGAAAGAAGTTCAACGTACATAGAGACTAGGACTGACCCAGGGACACACGTGCACACAGCTATAAGATAGGGGACACCAGGACACACAGACAGAGCCCTGGGCCCTGCCACTCATCGGTGCTACCCTGGCTGCCCCGGCTGTCCATGGGGCTCATCGTCGTTGCTGTTGTCACTGCTGTCGTCACTGCTGTCGTCACTGCTGACGTCACTGTTATTGTCGCTGGGCCGCCGTGTTGCTCTCTCTCCCAGCCGGTTCCTTGCACTGAACCCTGCACCCCCAGCTCCCCTAGGTCATCACTTCTGCGAAGCCCCTTGGGATGGCGGTTATATTTAGCTGCTGTATAACATTTAAATTGGTGTTGTTATTGAGACACAGACACGGACTGAACCGCGCACGCACCTGGACTGAGACAGCAATGCGCAGAGACTGGGAGACGACAAACGGGGATTCGGACCGCGACGGACAAGAGACAGATCGAGGCAGACAAACAGAAAGACTACCGGACAAGGAGACGGACTGAGACACGGAGACAACAACAGAGAAAAGCAAATGGAGACAAAGACACACACTGTCAATAACTCGGATAGAGGGAGACAGACACTCACACGCGGAGACAGACAGCTTAGACAGAGACAGGAACTAGATTGTGATAGGAAAGCAGACTCAGACAGGGAGACAGACTGAGATGGGAGCACAGACTGGGAAAGTCACACACAGACAAGGGCTCAGATACAAAAAGACAGAGAAGCTTGCACAAGGTGGCTAGAGACAGGGAGACAGGGAGACAGGGAGACAGGGAGACAGCAGACAGGGACGCATGCGAGGACAGGGAGACGGAAACAGACGGACGGAGACGGCGAGCGCTCACATGATGGTGTAGAAGTCGTCGTCGACGAGGATCATGTCGGCCGCCTCCTTGCACACGTCCGTGCCACTGCGTCCCATCGCCACGCCGATGTCCGCGGCCCTGAGCGCCACGGCGTCGTTCACACCGTCGCCCGTCATCCCCACCACCTCCCCGTTCTTCTGCAGCGCCTGCGGGGCCCCGGCGAGGAGAGCGGCACGCCCGTCAGTCGGCCGAACGTTCGCCGCCCGCGTCGTCACCGCGCGACGGTAAAGGGGCTCGCCACCCCTTCCCCCGACACTCCCACACTAGTCAGACTTCTCGGAAAAATACCCACACTTTGCCCCACCGCACGTGACCTGCCGATCCCCTTTGCCCAGCGCCCATGCACACACTGATGGGCCGACAGTTGCGGGTCGGCGGGCAGATTTCATAAACCTTCCCCGCTAGGTCAACGTCCTCGCCGGAGGATCGAATCGGCGACATTCTGCAAGCGCAGAGTGCCGACTGTTACACTGCGGCAGGGTCCCCACCTGCTGCGCGTGTTTCATAAAATGTTTTAATATTTCCCCCCGATGTCATCCCGTCTCGTACGCACTGTTCGCTTACTCCGCGACGTTTGCCGTGCGAGACCGTGGAGATGGAGCAGCGAGTTTGGCCGCGCACGGGAGTGGCCCAGGCCACTCCTACAGTGCCGAGTATTTTTGCGGAGTAATCATCGCCAGGGAAACAATCGCGATCCACGCACGCACCCAGGCGGGGACGCAGCTGCGTCCGTAGAGATTGCTCACGAGGCCCCGTGACACAGAGATTCTGTGGGACATCGCCATCTGGGGGTCGCCATCCGAGTCTCGTGCTCACCGACTCGTTTATATCGTTATTCATCCGCTCCGTCTTGTTCGTAATGCGAGCTTATCATTTGTATAAACGATAAATGACAGATTAATACCCACAATCCAATGCCCGCATTGCGAACGTAAGAAGCAGTTTCAGCCGTTGATTTTTTTTTAGTTCGGCCAAGGAATGATGTGTTCTAATTTGCGTCCTAAGACCCTCCCCCCCGCACCTTAACATTGGCCGTGGAAAATCACCACGTCAAGTTCAGGCGATGATCGGTGCATCATCAACACATGGTACGTGTCGGAACCGCACCGCGCGTCCCCGTCTGTCCAACGGACGTCTGAAGCCGTGACAGTGACAGCACGACGCTCACGCCGCGGCCGGGGACTCCGTCACAGCCAGCGCCGGGCGCTCCGTCACAGCCAGCGCCGGGCGCTCCGTCACAGCCAGCGCCGGGCGCTCCGTCACAGCCAGCGCCGGCGGCACGACGGCGCGAGCATTCCAAACGCCTCCTCGGCGGTCGCGGCGCCACGGGCCGTGAACGACGAGCTCGCACGTCACTTACAACTCCGCTGCCTCATTAACGGAGCTTCAAAAGCCGCTCGCCCGACAGGCCGACGCGCGCGGCACGGACGCGTCGCGTGCGGGGTTAGCGCTGTTTGTTTCTCGGGTCGCGCGTCCCTTTAATGAGGCGCGGGGCAAGCGGCGAGGCATTCCCATCAGACGGAAACCCTCTCACCTGGCGCCGCCGGCCCCGAGATCTCTGTGCCGCTGCGCTCGCCCCGCGGGGGGAAAAATGCAAAACGTTTTGGCAACAAAACGCCGTCTGCAGAGTCGGGGTCCAAGCAAACAGCATCCACGAACAATGATGTATAATTGGCCCGGTGCGATGCGACGCTTAGGCTTCGTAATGAGAAACGAGGGCACGTTAAAATACGTAGGGGCAGCGGGTAACGAGCAGAGCGGAACACCGAGCCGCCGTGAGCCGTGCGCCAGGCACGTCCAGCGACGTGCAACGAAGCAACCAGCGTGGGACGGGAGACGCGGCTAACGGACAGCCGGCGGCCCAGGAGCCGCTGCCACCAGGAGCTGCGATTGCAACAAGGAACATCTGGGCACTGGGCACTGAGTACTGAGCACAGGGGACTCGTGACTGGGCCCATGGCACAGGGTGTAGGCTGAATTTACCTTTACGATCTTGAGCTTGTGCCTGGGACTAGCTCGGTAGAACACGGACACCTGCAGCACAACAAAGGCGAACGCAATTCACAATCAAGGAAGAAAAATCACGCACGCGCATGGATTCTGTAACGCCTTGCGACACGCGTTTTTCCTCGGAAGTACTGAGTACCGGTATGGATGCTGACAGGTAGCCGTCAGAGCAATATGCATTTGCATATTCCAGTTACGTCCTTTGTGTGCTGGTTTTTATCTGAAAGTTGCGGGTCATCCTATACTTATCATGGCTGGTGTCCTTGTGTTTAAGCACTCAACTCCCGATCGCCATCGTCGTGAGATTAAGATTCGATATTCACCGATGAATTGATACGCCCTGACACCCCTAACGTCAGGGACGGCGGCACCGAAGCTCCGATTCACGGCTAACATCAGTGGCAAGCCAAGTGCGACCCGCCCGGTCCCGGGCACCAGAGCATGCTTGGGCAACCCCCAGAGCCGACGCGGCGTGGAGATCTTTTCATCCACCAGTGGAGAGACAACAGGCTAAACGTGTTACGCAAGAGACACACCGCGACACCTTTAACCGATAAACCCTCAACAGCTCCACCACGTGAGGAAGAGCACGTGGGGCCGAGTTCTGCGGTAGCGTGCGACAGAGAGGCCGTGGGAAACCCGGACACGCTGGACGTTGTCGCACATCGAGAGAGAGAGAGGGGCGACGCATGGCTGGCGAGAGTGGCGCACGCAGTCAATTTTGGAGCGGCCAAATTGACTGCACTCAAGGACAGCCACTCAATTTGGGAATTCAAAACCGTTTGTGTAGAAATTATGATATTTCGTGCATCTGTCGTGTCAGGATTATTATCGTTAACAATACTCATTATTGAAACATTAAAATATAGTGTTTGCCATAAAATATAACTGTTGGATGACGACCTCCCCAAGCCGTCACGAATCCACGTAGCACCTGCAGACGAGCCGATTTCAGTGCTCCATCTCCACGCTAGACGTTCTATCCTTCGGCTGCCACCCTATCGTTATCCCAGCCAGCGCCATATCCTGCCTGAGCGCGCCCACACGTAACACGTTGCATGTGTTGATAATTTTATCGGTCGTCTAAATATTTGAGGGTGGCCCTCTGGAAGCAACGGAGTGGGGGTGTCGGTCTGGCGGGGGGTGGGGGAGGGACGCGTGCTCGTCCTCACCTTGCGGATGATCTGGGAGAGCTGCGTCGTCTCCATCAGGTCCATCTCCTCCCCGGAGATGGCGGCTCCGCCGCCGTTGGAGGACAGCCCGAGGCGGTTGGCTGCCGCGAAAATCACGAACTACGGTCAGCGGGACGGCCACGAGGGGACCTCCGTCTCCACAACGGACCGCGGCGCAACGGAACCCGCGCGCACGTTGACGGCACGGCCGCCAACTGCGACCGCGCCTAAGATGGGACACACACGCGCCCGGACGCCGGCGCCGCTGTCCGCGCCGTACGTTCGCTTGTGCCGGCCGGCACCGGTCGCCTCTGGGCGGCCTCGCGAGCGGCGCGGCGTCGCGGCCTCCCGTAGCCCCCGTACCTATGGCGACGGCGGTCTCCATGGAGTCGCCGGTGACCATTTTGACGGAGACGCCCGAGGAGACGAGGATGGCGACGGACTTGCGCACACCGGGCCGCGGGGGGTCGATGATGCCCACGAGGCCCAGGAAGGTCAGCTGGCCCAGCTCGGGCCCCGAGGCCATGGCCAGCACTGCAGGGACACACGGCCCCACAAGCCCGCTCAGCCCCAGCGTGGCCCCGCCGCTCACGCCGAAGGGCAACTCCGAGACACCTACAGTCGCTCGCAGTCACTCGCAGTCGCTTACACGCACTCTCATTCACTAGCGGTCAGTGCCAGTTGTTCCTGGTAACCCCCAGGTATTCTCCGTGACTCTAAAGCACTCTCAGTCACTGCCAATGACCACTTGGGATAGCGACGACTTGAGGTGGCCTTCATCCAGCATTGCTTGTGCTGATGATGCTGATGAGAGCAGTCACACTCATCTTCGTCATGATGCCCGAGGCCGGTATTTACGCATGACGTGTTTAACCGAGAAATTGGGGGGAGCAGGGGTTGGGGGGGGGGGGGGGGAGGTGGCTGACCGCGCAGGCCGCTGGCGCCCATGTAGGTCTCCTCCTGCTTGTAGAGCACCAGCTGCTGGGCGGACAGCGGCAGCGTGTGCCCCTGGCCACGGAAGGAGCAGCACATGTCGATGACGCGCTCGAAGGCGCCCTTCACGAAGTAGACCTCCGCCTTGTCCTGCGCACCGCACTGCACACACAGCGCGCCCGTTGGCACGGCGCCCCGACACTGCACAAGCAGCGTGCCCGATGGCACGGAGCGCCACTCCACCCGCCGGTAAAACTTCCACCGCCACTTAACACAAAACTATTTTTATCTTACCAGGCAAGGCCCACTAAGCTACATAGCTTTTTTACAGAAGCGACCTGGCCACAAACGATAGCTCAACGAGAAGTGGCTTATCACGTGGAAATGTATAGCAGCCAAATGCTCTGAACGCGTGATGTTCATTCTAAATGTGGAGGGAAAAAACGGAGGATCTGGAGAAAAATCCACGCGACCACAGGGAAAACATGCAAACTCCAAATATACAACAGGTGTCAGGGTCGGGATTGAACCCACAACCTCCTGTATACGAGGTAAGGGAGTTAAGATCTCGTCACCACGGTGCCATACTTACCAAGTCTAGCCTAGCCCTAACCCTCAGCTAACTCAACTCTAGCCGAACTTGGCTCTCATCTTAGCCTACTTAATCCTCACATAAGGCTAACTTGACCCTCGCTCTAACTCTCATCACCATCTATCTCCAACCCTGTAGCCTAGCCTTGCACTCGCCTAACTTGTTAATCTACTCATTTATCCAGGGGAACCACACTGAGCCCTGTTTAAAGACCTTCCTGCCACATTGGGGCTTATGTGAAGATGTTTTGAGCCTGTGAATGCTGAGTTGTGTTTATTAAACACGTGGGAGAAAACCGTAGCACCCGGAGAAAACCCACATGCGCGAGGAGGCAACACTATCCCCGTACAGGTGGAAGCAGAGGGCGACACGTCCACTTTGCTGTACTGCCTTCTACTGGCGCGCCAGGGTACGGGCACCTCCTCGACGCCTACCGGTAGAAGGGCGTTTCACACAACATCCGTGGCGGTGATCCACCAACCCTCGCTGCTGCTGCTGCCTCCACCGCGCTGGGTCACAGGCAGCAGCCACGCGCAGCAGCAGCAGCCACCACTGCCACCCGGCTCACACCAACCTACCTTGAGGCTAACCCCATCCGATACACAGTTTTGTCCGTAACGCTGCACACTGCCGAGTGCATGAATGTACGTTGAACTTCTTTCACACCGTACGTAGCCAACGGTGCTAATTGGAGGTGCGGGGTGAAGGAAAATGTGTGACCCTTGAAATACGCCTGTGCGCGGTGCCTTTAAACCCGAGCAGGGATGGGCGGCGGGAGGGGGGCGGGCAACACGTGGCCGTGTGGGGGGGGCGGTGGTGTTACCTGCTTTGTCCTGTGCACGCACTTCACCGCCATCCACTTCTGCTCGGAGCTGAAGGGGATCTCCCTCCTCCTGATGTAGTCTCCCCGCACGTCCGCCAGGCCCATCTTTACGGAGGCATCGCGTGACAGGGCGAGAAGCACAATCACCGACGCCGTCGTTGTCATCTTCAAAATCGTCGCCGTCGTCATTTTCACCAAAATCGCTACCGTCACCGTCACTAGGCAATGTGATGCGATGAACTGTGACGATCCGTGGTCACGAGTGGATTCAAGGACCGGTTATTTTTGGTCTCAGTTTTGCCGTCTCATTTGCAATGTGTCAAACGCAGCTGTCTTGTTTGCACAATGCCATTTACTCCACGAGCTCGGATATAACAGCAGTGTGTTACATTAATTTCCATGAATTGTAAATAAGCAATCCTGAGCGCAAAAATCTATTTTAATCAATGCGTCACTGTGTGCCCAACCATCACCACCACGTTCTGCCTCGGCAAAACAGGTTGCACCCGAGTCAAAAGCCGCATGGCTCACAGGGCTATACCTAATAAATGAAACTGAAACAGGGAACGGAACGGCGTTTCTGGGAACAATCCGGCAGTGAATCACCCACAAACAGGCTTCTAAATGCGGCAAGGGGACCGGAGAACAATGGGCGCACGCACGCACGGCGACATCCCACACGGCGTCCCGCGCACCCAATCGAGGCACCACCCCATGTTAGCCTTTGGGTCTCCACATCAATCTATGGGTCTCGTGGGGTAGCAAGGTGGTTGGCGTCGGCCCCGGTGCCAGAAATTAATTGAGGTTCGTCCGTTCAATTTTCCCCTCCCATCTTTGTAACCCGGGGCCTGGACTCCTCGGGCTCCTGGGCCCGGGTGCGGTGGCACCGCCCCCACCCTCGACAGCCACGTCGCGGACGTCACGCGGCCGTTGCCGTCCCCCCGTGGCCTCACCTTCATGGCGAGCACGAGCAGGGCGCCCTCCGTGGGCTGCCCCATCAGGGCCTTGTCGCTGCGGATGATGGCGTCGTTGCAGATGCACCCGGCCTGCACGCGGTTCAGGTCACATGGCTATGAACATCAGCCCACCAGTCGCACTTCGTTCGGGACGAGCGGGCAGCCCGTCCCCATGAACGGGACAGGGGCGTTGGCATAGGTCCTGGCGCGGGCAATTAATTACGGCCCCCACCTTCTTCCTAGCCCAAAACCTGGGCCTCAGAGCAGTTGCACCGCCTGCACACTCGATAGCTACACCACTGGGATGGAGGCGATATGATGCTCGCGCTAGCACGGTTACCCCAACCCAAGTGATCCACTCACGGATAACCGAGATGTAATTGTATACGCGCGAATAAATGCACAACAATGACCCCTTGTGGCCTTAACAGACTGTTGGGGCAAAAGCACCTATGAAGGCCAGCACGGTAAAAACTAGTAAGTGGTGTGTCAAGCGCCCCGCCAAACTGCATTTTTCTCTCCAGTGGTGAAGTTTACACACTGCTCCAAGTAATCATTTGAGGCCGAGTTGCCCTAGGAGAGGCCCAGGACTGGTTCAGATAATCGCCACTGGTGTTAGACGTGAGCGGGAATCGCACTCGGGTCGCCAGGTTCGTAGCACAGCGTGCTAACCGCTGGACTACAGCTCCACGCCACATCATGTACACACAGAGACACAGAGACAGACACACGTGGGACAGCACTGCAGGTGGCGAGGACCCCCCCCACCTCGACGACGCTGGCGATGGACGCGTGGGAGTAGCCGTGCACGATCTCTCCCTCCACCCGCACCTCCCCGTCCACGTTGTAGCCCACGCCGGTCACCTGCAGCAAGCGAACGCAGCAAACCACGCACTTACGCAACTCCCACACAGAGCGGTGGCCGCGCAGCGCCGCACAAATCACACCAGGATCAGCCTCGGGTCGGCATAAAGGTCGCCCTCGGGTGAGAGGTCATCGGTCACCTCTGCGTGCAACCCATCCGCCGTGCAGATGTGCGTCGCGGTCATCTCGTTCTTGGTCAGCGTCCCCGTCTTGTCCGAGCAAATCACCGTACAGCAGCCTGCGATGGACACAGGGGGTGGGGGCACACAAACACACACACGGGGTCACATGAGGCCACGTGGGGCACAGGGTCATGGGGCAGACGAGGACAAGGGAGCGGACTGGCTCAGCACTGTGGTTGGGGGCCACACTCCCACAGGAACGCAACGAGAGAAGGGCAGCAGTGCTCCCGAGGGCCACACCCACCTGGAAGACGGCGGGGACGTTGTTACCAACTCACGCTGCTCGCTTTAATACCACCAATCCCGCGTCTCACCTTCCCCAACGGTGCACGCTCCCAAAGGTTCTTATTGCACTCCGAGTCGGCTAACTGGAAACACTTACCGAGAAAGGGAGCTCAATATTTTTGGCAATCGCGCGCATTTCATTTTTAAGCGCGGGCACCGTGCGGGGTCGAGTGTCGGGGTCGCGTGTCGAGGTCGTACCCAGAGTCTCCACGGTGGGCAGCTTCTTGACGATGGCTCTCTTCTTGGCCATACGCATGACCCCGAGCGCCAGCGTCACCGTCACCACGATCGGGAGGCCCTCGGGGATGGCGGCCACCGCCAGGCTGCAGCGAAACAAGCGGCGTCGCTCGCCTCAAAGCCGGCCACGCGCCGGTGCCGCCGCGACACGCTCTCACCCAGAAGCGTGCCATCGCAGACTCCACCGCCGTACCAATCCTATCCATCACCAGCACACCGCCACAGCGCTGCGCAATGTGTCACCACCGCGCTCTTCACCACAAGCCTCAGTGTCACGGTCGCCATACTGCATTGGCACTCCCCCACAGCAACTTCCACCACCGGCCCACCAACCCACACCTGTTGCCCTGCAAAACCACCAACTACCCCCACCTCCAAGCCATCACGACCACACATCACCACCACTTGACATCCAGCCACAAACACCGCCAGCAGGCCCCCACCAGCACACCACTGCCTGCACACCACCACTATCAGGCCAATGGCCACAATTGGGGCCATTGCGTGACCGAGCGTACCTGACGCCGATGGTGAACATGTCCAGGATGTGCTTGCCTTGCAGCCACCCGATGAGCATGATCAAACCTGGGCACAAGCACACGAAAGATAAAGATCTCCCTGTAGCCTAAACATATCGCTGGGGGAAGTGCTGTTAGCGACCACCTATTAAGGCCGGCACGTCACAAGAGGGGGTGGGTGGCCAGCACCGCGCCCGGCCAACTGTGTGTCCCCAATGGCGATGTTAGCAACACACCACTGCATGGGGTACTCATTCGAGACTGAGTCGACCGAGGGGAGGGCCAGGACTGGTTCAGATAGTCGCCACTGGTGTTGGTGGCCGTGAGCGGAAATCGAATCCGCACATGCGAACACAGTCACACACGCACAGCGCGTGCGCACTGCACTCTGCGTGTGGCGAGAGTCACGGCGTTGTGTTTGTCGACGCTGGAGCACAACGCGGAGCTTGGTGCGAGCCACCACTCACCGATGATGCACAGGGAGTAGAAGGAGAGCTGCTTGCCGAGCCGGTCCATGCTCTTCTGCAGCGGGGTCTTCGGGGCCTTCAATGCAAGAAAGCACCACCACGTGACTTGTACGTGTTAATTTGTCCTCAATTTGATCGCGATTGCGCTATTCGCGTCACGTCACGAACTGAATGATCCGTTCGCATCTCCGGCAGAGCGCCGCGACCTCCGTGTTCCAGAATGGCCCAGCAGAAGCGGATATTGCAGAGCTACCTCCGGTCTAAACGGGGAGCGCACGCGTCGCGTACGGTGCGAGCCGAGCCTCACCTCCTCAGCTTGCATCATCTTGAAGACCTCTCCAAACTCAGAGTTCTCGCCGGTCCCAATGACAATTCCCTGCCGAGACAAAGCGCACGCGGGGCGTCGTCCTGGGTCACGCGGGGGTGGAAGGCGCCGGGGCTCACCGCGCGACCGCATCACGGCTCAAACAACACCACCGCGACCACGACGTACAGTGCCCACACTGATCCCGGCCACGTTCACGCGGTCACCGATCGCAGGGTGGCGAGCACAGCCTCTTGCCAATCCGCCGATCAGGCGGAAGCGTCCCCACGCTGTGTCGATCGTGGGAATTGTTTGACCATACTTCACCACGCTGGTCAGTCCGGGTCTGTGAAGTCTGGTGGGAGGGCGGGATACGAGATCGGTTCACGCATCGAAACGGATGCTAGCAGTGACCGGTAACCGAACTCGGGTCACCGAGTTTGAAGCGCAATGGCACAAGATGACAATGTTCGGCATCGCGACCCTGAAGCGCTCGAGCAGGCGTAGAACCGTGCGGTAGAGTCGGAGCACTGCGGGGCACTGCCATGGTCGGGAGAGGTGGGGTCGAGGGTATCGCGGTTGGCATGGTCAGTCTCTTTCTCCCTGGGCCCTGGTGGCGAGAAGCGATCACTCCTAGGTCAGAGCAGAGGCCTCTGCCGCCTCGAGGGACTGGGCCAAGGAAACGACTGCGTCCGAGAGCAAAGAGGGCGGCTGATGTAGAGGTTATGGTGAGGACTGTCACTATGAACATCATCGTCATCATCATAATTATTGTCATCATCATCATCGCCATTGTCCTGGGGGCACGTCTGATACTTTGGCATTATCCTCATCACCTCTTGGGTCTGCACAACGTCTGCTGCTGCCTGTCGCAGACGCTACGTTCATCATCATCATCATCATGAGTCAGCTGCTCTCGGGCTGACATCTCTTCCTTGTCCTTTCCGACAGGTCCTGCAGGAGGCTGCTAGCAAGTCCCCTCTGCTCTCCGAGTGGCACGGCCAAACCATTGCAGCAGCTTTCCTGCTCCCTGCGGCCGCCGCGAGTGTTCGTGTAGCTCTCCGATGCATTTGTGGGTTTGTGCCGCTGCCGGCACGTCGAAGCGAAACGTCGGACATCGTGCCGAACAATGCATGGCGCAACCCGAAAACACAACGGAGAGTTACGCGGCGCAACGCGAAAACCCACGCAAGTACTGGTCCGTGTGCCCCAATCCTCAACCAGCACCGCACCAACGGACCCATCTGTGTGTCGCCGTCAGGTTCTAGTCACCTGCCAACCGGTGAAGTGATGTGGAATTGAAGTGAACACAGGTTCCCTTCAGGAGCCCCCAGGTGCCACTGCGCAGAGGCTGCAATGCCAAACAAAGAACACGAAGCCAGCTCCCCACGGCTTCCTCTCCCAGCCCGCCCCGACCCAGGCTCATTCAGCCTCAACAAACAACGGCCCTTGTGTATTTGGCTTCACAATGCACTTCTTGGCAAACATCCTTCAGAATACACACCAGTTTCCTCCCCACCCCCCACCCCCCCAGTTTGATGTATTCCAAAACAGCTGGTGACTTCTGACTGTTCTGCTGAACGACAAAGAGCACCCGCAGCGTTTGCTTTAATAATCACTTTTCACGGAATGCGTTGCTGGCTCCAGATGCCTCTGGCCGGGTCATGTGGACCCCTAACGACCTCTTGGAAGCAAAGCGTAAGTCCCCGACCGCGTCTCACAAGGGAGAGAGTGACGGGCCCGCCGAAACATTCCGGTTTCAAACAGCTGCATAAACCCCTGCCTCGGCTTGTTACAGGTGAGGAACGAGATACGGGCGTGCAAGTCCACTACTGGCAACAGCGAGGAGGAGGAGGAGCAAGAGGAGGAGCAGGGAGTCGCAATGGTTTAATGGTGCTCCAGGCGGCACTATCCTGCAGGGTGGAGCGCATTATAAACCGGGCTTTACCACTAAACTTGTTATTGGTGAGGCCAGCCGAGGAAGTGTGCTGTGGTGGTGAACGGCAGGCGCTGAGCAGACCGTTAAAGTCCACAAGTTGCGGAGAGAGTTTATAGCCCCCACGACCCCCACGGAACCGATGACGACGATGACGACGATGACAATTCTGATGATGAGACCTGTTCCGTTTCACTCCGGCCACCCCCCTCTCCCAACAACTTTGTTAAATGTCACGATTCAGGGTCCTGATGTAATTCAACAATTGCTCAACTTAAATCTTGACTTAAAGCTTTCGTGACTGCAGGAATTCATATTCTTTGGGTCTTTCTGTAAAGTCACGTAGATAGGTTCAGTGAAAGTAACAAAAATAACAAAAAAACGACGACGTTTCGATCGCAAGCGGTCGTCATCAGGAGGGGGGAAAAAGGGATGACGACCACTTGGGTTGCGATCGAAATGTCGTAGTTTTTTGTTATTTTTGTTATTTTATTTGAACCTATCTACGTGACTTTACCGAAAGACCCAAAGAATAATTGTTCAACTTGTCTCATTTTCACCCACTCGTTCGCATTGATTCTTGGTTTTTCTCGCTCTGGTCTTTTACAAATCTGCATTTGCCTCAATGCAAGATTCGCATATCATAGACATTCGTCAATCCACTGCCGGACACGGGCCTCCGAATGCCCCGGAGATCAATGGGGTCACTTGACCATACTTCACCACGCTGCCCAGTGGAGGCTGGTGGGGAAGGGGGGGCTCAGGACCAGTTCAGATCTCACTCGCCACCGATCTTAGCCGCCGCGGCAGGGAACCGTCTTCACAGCGCAGGGCGCCAATCACTCCGCCGCCACTCCACGCACGTGTCATTTGAAAGTAGTCGATGTTAACGAGCACGGGCTCCATTCTTGTTTCGTTTGAATAGTGGAATCGAAGAGGCCGCCCCTGGCCTCCTGCTGTGCCTGCTGTGCCGCCGCTGCTGCCGCTGCTGCTGCCGCTGCTGCTGCCGCCGGGTGTTTGTAGTTGCGCCCTCGCGGTGCAATAACAACAACAGAGCGGCGCCTTCCTCTCCACGCCCGTACAGTTTGGGTTTGAACGGACGCCAAATGCGCACAAGGGGCAATGGAAAACCAACCGCGGCAACAACAATAATAATACAGAAGTAATAATAACGCGATTCATAACGCGCACCGTTTTTTTTATCGCAAACATAACTGACCGCGACTTTCAAACCGCGCTCGACACGAACGGATGGTTGCCCGCACGGGCTCGGCCACGGTGGGCACAAGCGAGCAAGCGCTGCGCCCGCGGGTGGCTCCGGCTGCGGCGCTTCATAGCGGCACCCCAAGCACAGCGACGAGAGTCGGACGGAGAGGGCAGCGTCGCCGCCGGCGTCCCGCTGCGCTTGCTCCACTGACGTTTTTTTGTTACTTTTACACAGTTGCCGAGCACAGCCTCTAAGGCCCAAAACTTCAAACGGCCAGAAACAAATAGCGCGATCCAAGTCGTAATGGATTAGGAGCGTAACGCTCCGGTCCTTGAATTGGGCAAGGTAATTATCACAAGATTTGTTGGGGAAAAGAGACGACGATGGGAAGAGATTCCAAAGTTGAGCAGTGCAAGGGAAGAAGCAGAAAGGGGAACATTGTGACTTGCGGTGTGGTGAGTGGGTGAACGAGTGGGAGAGTAAACAGAAGAATGACCGAATGAGAGAGTTGAGTGTGTGAGAGAGTGAATAGGTGGCAGAGGGTGTGGGAGAGCGTGCGAGTGTGTGGCTGAGTAAGCGTGTCGTTTTTGGCCTTGTACTGTAAGAACGGTGCTAATACCAAATAAACTAATGATGACGTTGATGGTGGTATGACTGCTGCGTGCGTGGGTGTTTGCTGCCGTGGATAGGAGGTCGGGCTCGAATCTCACAGATCTTCACGCGGAGCAGCAAATAAGCTCCACGGTTACACCGCACAAACAGCTTGGCAGAGTAATTAAAACTAATTTGGATGAAAAATTATCTTTTAATGTTTTTTTTAATCTGGCATCACACTGCCACGCTGACAACTTCAGTGCACAGGCGGATTATCAAAGCCGGCGTCTGATGTCTCCGCTCGGCCCGGCGAGCTCGCGGCTCCGTGCTCCGCGGCCGCCCAAACGGCCGCTTTCATATCCCTCCCCGCAGCCTCCAACCGCTGGGCTCTCTCCGCAGCCACCACGGCAATTAGGGCGATTCGGCATCACCGGGAGCCTCGCGTGTAGCCCCGGAGCGCCAGGGAGAAGGGGGAGGCTGCAGGGGGATGAGCGCCCCCCCCCACCCCCCGAAAGCATTGCTGAAGGCTCAGCACCCTCTTCTGGCAGGCAAAAGCCCGTGGCACCGTTACTCAACCCCCCTCACCTGAGTTTGCGTATACCCCTCCCTCTTTCAAACAAGGTCACTCTACAGGGCTGCTCACAAGCGGAAAAAAACAGATGGCATCGTGGCCTGGGCTGGCTTGCAGGGCCTGTGATATTTACTCTTGTGAGTAGACTTAAGGTGGGAATAAATGTTCCGCACATTGACAGAAAAATACACAACGCGTGCGGTGAGGTTTGGGCGACGGCACTCCAGGGCCAAGCGCTTCGGTTTAACTCCACGAAGCGCGGCGGCTCGCTCCTTTCTCCGCGGCCGGTCTCCCCCGCACGCGTCGCTCGACTCGCTCGCGGTAGAAATTAAGGGCCGACCGATGCGCAGGCAACGCGATTGTAACGAGCGGGCGGGCGGAGCGAGGACGCTAGCTAGCGGGAACCCAACGCCCCCTTCCGGCTGAGAGATCCCCGGGCGCTTCGTTTCTTCCGCTTGAAAAGCATCTCCCACTTTGCTTTGCTCACGAAATAGAGAGACGGCCGCGTCAGAGAGACGCCGAGTGAACGCGCCAATGTCCGGCTAATACACAACGCTAAAGATACACGAGGGATGGGGCGGGTGGGGGAGGGGGAGCACCGTGGAAACAAATACGGACTCCCTTGCTCACGCACCCAATCATAGCGGGCCAGGGAACGGGTGTGTAGCAGCAGTAGTGGTACTAGCAACAGTAGCAGCAGCAGTAGTAGTAATATTAGCAGCAGTGGTAACAGCAGTAGTAGCATTAACAACAGTAGCAGCAGCAGTAGTTGCAGCAGCAGTAGCAGCACCAACAGTAGCAAAAACAGCGGTAGCAGCAGTAGGATCAGCAGCAGCAGTACTAGTTGCAGCAGCAGCAGCAGAAGCAGCAACAGCAGCGTCAGCAGCGCGTGCGGTGTCAAGACGTCACACCGAGTGTGATGGCGGTGCTCTCGAGTGGCATCTGGGCTTTCAAAACCAGCGGGGGTGGGGGGGGGAATGACCAGGGGGGCAAGGGAGAGAAGGTAAATAGACAAGGGGGTGGGAGGAGGTGAGGGTGGGTGTCATGGAGTGCGAGTGGGTGATTGGGGTAAAAGTGGGTGAGACATAAGTGTGAGTGAGTGGGGATGAGAGTGAGTGAACGAGCGAACGAGGATGTGAGCGAGTGGGTAGAGATCCGAGTTATTAAGGATGCGAATGAGTAAGATGTGAGTGCCCGAGTGCGGATGTGAGTTGGCGAGTGAGTGATTTAGTAGGGACGTGAGTGAGCACAGCGATTCATAAGGCGACGTAAGTGAGCGAGTCATTCAATAGGGATGCGAGCGAGCAAGTGGGGATGCGAGCAAGCGAGCGACCGAGCCGGCATGGGACGGGTCACGGGCGCCGGCCGGCCGGCCGGCGTGGGTCGCCGCACGCACCTTGCCCTTGCCGCAGCGCACCAGCGTGCCCATGAAGGCGATGTTGGTGCGCGCCGCCATGTCGCCGTTGAGGGCCCGCGCCACGATGGACGTCGTCTTCCTGCTGGGCTCCGTCTCGCCCGTGAAGCTCGACTCGTCGATGGACAGGTCGATCGACTGCACGGAGACGACGGGGAACATCCCGGCCCCCCGTGGGACCGGCGTCAGGGTGACCGCCAGCATGGGGGGCGCTCGCCGCAATGCCACGCCAGCTCAAGGCCCCCAGCATTGCAAGTTCAGGTTTCAGGTTGGTTTTGTGTAACCAGGTGACATTTCAAGAGACCAGGTGAGTGTCTCATGCGTAAGTGTGACCTGGGGGGGCATCGGCCTGCCAGGAGGGGGGGGGGGAGGGGCGATGATTGCTGCTGTGTGTACAGTACAATTGAGTAATTCGCAGTGTAATTATTTGAATTGGCAACTTTGGATTCCGATTCCAGCACGCACAGCGGCCGACTCTTGCCGGTAATATCGGGCGATCTGTGACGTCCTCTGAAGCAGTTACGGTTATTACACCCAGCGCATAAATTAACCAGGGCGGCCGACGGATTTGAGCCATGACCCTCCGCAGATACCATTTTGACCCCACAGAATTTGGACCACCTGGTAAGGATACTTAAACACTGCTTGAACTCCGGGGCACAAATACCTATCGCGACAATACGACCCCCACGCACCCCGTCCCCGCGTCGTGACGGAAGCGAGGCCTACCTCATAGAGGCGCAGGTCGGCGGGTACGCGGTCGCCCACGGAGAGCGTGACGGTGTCGCCCGGCACCAGCTCGCGCGCCAGCAGCTTTTCCATGCGGCCCTCGCGGACGCTGTGGTCACAAGACGGCCAAGCACGAACGTTCAGCCCAGGCTGGGATTCTGCCGCTATAGGATTTGGGGTGCGGCACCCAGTTGCTAACTCACCACTGCACCGGATAGAGTTCAGAGTGAAGCGGCAGTCGTGGTGACCGATGATCAAGTGCTCACCGATTCACACAACTTGCTCGCTCACTCACTCACTCACCGGTGAACAGTTCGCCCCCCTTTTCACTCATCATCGCTGCTGTCATGGTTACGGTTTCCATGATCATCACTCATTGATTCCTCCACCAAAGTTGAGGACTCACCACCACAGGGTAGGATACAACCCACGCACCCACCCGCACATATTAAAGATCCCCTCGCGTCATTCGCAAGAGTAGACCATTGTGTGCCGGCGTCAGGACCATGAGCAAAATTTGAAAATTATTCAATTTGGATGATATGCGGAGCAGCCATCATGGCCCCCGACTACTGGCAGACTCATGCCTCCAGGTCTCTCTTGCAAATGAGTCTATCCTGGTCTCTTAGGTTCTCGCCTGGCCATAAAAACTTGATAAGTGTTATAGTTATTATTGAGACCAGATGTGACATCGCTCTCCTCCCGATGTTATAATCGCACTTGTACACGGACAGCCCTTTTGTTGGTGGTTACATTTGCCCAGCCAAGCAGTAACCAGGCCCCGCCCCGCTTGGCCTCCGTGATGCGGCAAGGCCGTGTGTGCCACGAGCGATTTGGCCGAAGGCGAAGTTATTAATAATTCGGCTAAAATTAAAAATAAACGCTCGATCTCAAATGTAAATCGAAACATCCGACACCTGCATAATTCAGAGAGCTTGCCATCGATTGTAACCACCCGATCCCTCTCGGGGGCGCAGGCGCGTGAAACGCTGGCACCGCCGCATGCCAGGTGGCGCTCTCGGTGCCAGCGAAGGTCACGAGAGGCCGGCGAGTCTCATCCGGCCCAACGCGGCTTCGACGGAGGCCGCGGCCGCCGGGCCCTGCCACCTGCCCGAGGCGACCGTGCGGCCTCTCCCGTCGCTCATCATCAACACCATTGGCCACGATGAATCCGCTGCTGGACGAAGGCGACGCAAGCCATCACCATCCCGCACGACCCAGTGCCACTAACGTGCATCTCGCTCGAATGAATCTCAGTGCTCCGTCTCCGCTCTGGTCGTCCTCCTCTTGGAAGCGCTCCTTTGTTTGGCTGCCATTCTGCTACAAGTCTCGTCCATTCCGAATTCTCAATATGATGATCTGGTTTGTGTTTGTTCCCTCATCCATGGCACTTTTTCTGTCGCTCAGTCAAATTCCAAGCATCTATCTTTCCTTCCATCTCTGGGAACTTTTCAGTTCAAGTTCTATATGTCAGTCATGACCACAGTGTTTATAATTTACATGTCACATCAGATAATGCTCACTGATTAAAAACACTTTTCTTCCCCGTGTTGGGGCTCTGAATTGGTATTCAAGATCAAGATGCCATCACAGCCAAAGCCACCGAAGCCACCGCCAAAACCGCAGCAATGCTTTCGACCCAATGCCAGATCGTGCAGCCACTGCCACCATCTGCTCCGAGGCCTTTCCCTTGGTCGCCAGATTTGTGCAGACCGCTTCGACGCCCGTCTGGCCAATCGGCCCTCCTATTATTACTACTACTACTACGACAACCAATGCCACGTGACATGAAACAATTCCTGAGCGGGTAGGCGTTCCGTGTTATGCCACGCGGAGTTCGGAGGCAGCGAACGGAACGGACACAATGCAGGCTCGATCCGTCTCTCGCCTCGCCCCCACTATAATTGTCCCGGTCGGAACAGCAACAGCCAGAGATAGCTTTGTGTTTTGACAGACGACACATAAAATCAAACTGCGTCTGAACAATAGCAGAGAACACAAAGGCCCTGCAGTCGGTTGTGGCTGCTTGCCGCACGCTTTGCTCGGTGGCCAAATATAGCGGCTGGCACCAGGCCAAGTCGATGCCAGAGAGCTCCCAAGCGACGTGGGCAACGCTGCCAAGGCGGCGCGTGGCAAAAATCTCAAGAGCCACGTTCCCCAAGAGGACGCCGGCGGGCTCGGAGGGCAGAGACGCTGAGGAGGCACCGCTAATATCCGGCGCTCGAATCTGGGTTTCAGCCACTGCCTCGGGCTGAACCGGGATCTCAAGTGTCGTGAGTAGATGGTCTCAGCCCGGTCAACGATAACTACACAAATAAATACCATCACGTTTACTTTGATCCTGAACCTAAAGTAGCTCAATTCCAGCTGAGAATGTCAACATCGGTTTGGCTCTCATCTGCCGAGCCAGTGGGGAAGTGCTAACCCCGACTGTGTGGAACGAAGGACACTCGAAGAAGGGATTTCTAAAAGTCGTTCCGTGAGATGCGCTTCCTCGGGGCCGTTGCACGACCCCCAACGGCTTCCCAACGAATGCTTCGTCCGCAATGGGCGTGCAGCCTGCGGATTCAACAACTTTTGTTTAAATTGAAGAAGCGGAAGGCGAGCACCCTCCACACCGCGAGCAGCAGCACCTCGGCTGCGAAGCGGCGACGCGCTGGCTACCGAAGGGCGCTGCATCAAGTCGTTCGCTGCACGAAAATATACGCTCAATTATTTACGTGGCCTCATAACTAATGCAGAGGCTGCTTTTGTGAGCACATTCCCTCCTGAGGATTAATTCAAAAATACACGTGTGGTAAAACGTCGATGCCGAGCACAATGAGAGACTCGCATGGGCATCTGTGACCACTGGGATGACTGATTCGATAAAAAAATGCCGAAGCATTCTCATACGGAGGTGCTGTTTTTTTTTATCTCGAGTGATGTTGGGTTAAGGATGTCCTGTGGCACCCGATCCAATCCCGGATCAATTCCAAGAATGCATTCACCAGCTTCAAGATGCTCCATGGACTCGCCCCTGCCTACCTCTCCCCTCTCATCTCACTCTACTCCCCTCCACGCACTCTCCTACCTCTCCCCTCTCATCTCACTCTACTCCCCTCCACACACTCTCCTACCTCTCCCCTTTCATCTCACTCTAATCCCCCTCCACGCACTCTTCGCTCCAACAACCGAGGCTTTCTCAGGGGGAGGTTGCTCGTTCTCCTCTGCTGTCCCCACAGTCCGGAACTCCCTGCCCCGATCCATCCGTGCTGTTCACTTCCTGCCCCTGCCCGAGTCCTGGCTCAAGATCTCCTTGTTTCCTTCGTGTGTGAATGACTGCCCCTTTCTCTCGATACAATACATTTATATAAAATAAATATGCCCATAATATCTGTACAGTGTCTTGAGTTGGGGTCGCATTTAGACCTGCCATATTTACGTTGCATCATATTTGACATGCTCAAGAAAGGCCACAGACCTAACCCACAGACACATCTACACGCTGTATGCATTTCACATGTCATTGTAATTGCACTCAACCACACCGATGGGAGACAGCAACAGGAGGGAATCTGATCCAATCACCGGGCCCCTGTGAACTGCGTGAAGGCGGTGTTCACAATTCGCTCGCTCGGCAACCCCACGCCCCCCCCCCCCCCCCGTCACTAATCACCGATCACGCTGGGGGATGTTGGGAGAGGGGGACGGGGGGCACCAGCGAGCGACGTACCAGTGGCACTCAGGCGGGACCAGCTTGTTCAGCTCTTCGAGCGACTTCTCCGACCTGTATTCCTGCAACGCAGCGACGCACGTCTCAAATGTCAGCGTCGCCACACGAGGGACCAAACAAGACACCAGGAATGGACGTCTCTCATTTGCAACATGGACCCGGGTCACCGAAATTACAAACGCAATTATATAACAAAGCAGTGCAGCAGCAATGGAGCGAACAGAAACGAGAGGCAAAAACAAGCGAGTAGAAATGAGTAAGCAGACAACCGCCCCGCAGGCGGTCGATGAGAGCGAGTGGGACGACGCCTCGGAGCCGCCATGCGGTCATCGCCGAGCCATCGCGTCTGCTCGATCCACCGTGGGATTGTGCGAGCCGTGAGCCATACAGACTCATTCTGCATGTGGCCACATCCGAGCTGCTTTGGCCGCGTTGACCAACACAACGTGGCCGCACTACCAAATTGCCTCGGCTGCAGGCCCCCCTATTCTGCGCGGCAGTGAGGCAAGTCCAGTGTCAGCTGGATATAAGCACACCCCCCCACCTCGGGCATATCAGGAATTTCTCTTCACATTCCCCCCACCAGCGTGATGTCAGCACATGTTTCTTATACCAGAACTGTGCTTATACGAGGTATGCTTAAAAACGGTGTCCACTCGGTTTAGAACTCAACCTCAATTTGTGGGGCTCCACGCATGAAGACGGGACGCTCGTTTGTGTCGTGCAATTATTACGTCGCAAATCCAGACCATGCGCGCTTTGTGAACACGTACCTGCACGAAGGCGACCGTCACGACGATCACGATTGCCTGGTCCGCAAGGGGCAGGGTGCGGGGGGTGCGGGGGGTGGGGAAACGGCAACAAAACACAAACAATTAAGTTTACGATAATCCACTTAAGAGGGACACAGCGCGGGCGCTAATTAATGGGTTCAGCACTCGCAGCGTTGTCCGGGGACCAAGCGGATGAGCATCTGTTCCAGCCGCGCTCATCGGATGACGCACTGGGCTCTTGCGCGAGATCGCAAACCTCCCCGCATGGCGCCACCACCAGATGGCCGTGCCGGTTTTGATGCCTGTTTTAACAATTACGATTACCGCTCGCACGCACGCACACGCAGGTACACGCGCCCGCACACACACGCACGCACGTACACATGTATGCACAGGCACGTACATGCACGTACACGCATACACGCACGGACACAAGCATACACACGTACGTGTACACAATGCAACTAGATGCACACTTGCGCCCACTGCTACCACTACTGTGGTTAATGTCCTATGTGTTGAGGACACCTGCTCACTCACCCACAGGCTCACCCACACGCTCACCCACCCACCCATCCACCCACCCACCCACCCACTCACCCACCCATCCATCCACTTTATCTCTTATTTCTGTTTCTTTCCTGGCACTGCTTCACTTCCATTATCTCTATTCCCCACGTTCTTATAATAACCTTGCTCGATTAAGGAAAAGTGTTACCACTCTTGTGTGTTCCACTTTCCATCGTGCTGTTTGTTGCTGTTTGTTGCTGGCAGCTTTGCGCTTTTGGGACTCAATGCACACCAGTTCACACTCAGCAGTTTGTGGTCCTTTCCCCGCACCTCCGATGAGTACGGTTGGCCGCGTACGATGCAAAAGAATTTCGATTTAAAGCTTTCGTGACTGCAGGGATTCATATTCTTGGTTCTTTCGGTAAAGTCACGTAGAAGGGAAGTAATAAAATAATAAAAATAAAAATAAAAACTATATTGCTTTATTTTATTTTTATTTTATTATTTCCCTTCTACGTGACTTTACCGAAAGAACCAAGAATAAGATGCAAAATAAGTTAAACGTATGTACATACAGCAACGACACGTGTTTCTTTTGTTTTTGCAATTTCCTTGCAGCGAGCTCGCCAGGGCAAGGGCTGTTTCCCAGCGCCAGCGCTGGCGCTAAGTGGCGGGACTTCCCGTAAGCGAGTGGCGCGGCCCCATACAGGCGGTGCCACGCCGTGTCAGGTTCTCGTTTTGAGGCAAGTTGACCCGGCGCCAACTTCAGGACAGGTCGCGGTAGCGACCGTCAGCGGTGCCGCGGCGGCGCGAAGAAACGGTGCAGCGTTTACAGCTCAAGTAGCTGTCGCATTGCCAACTCCGGCGGTGAGCGCCAAGACAAAGATCCCCCATGTAGCCTGCATCAGACTGCTGGGGCAAGTGCTTTTGGCGAGTAGCACCTATGAAGGCTGGCACAGCACACGAGGGGGTGGGTGGCCAGCACGCCGTACAAGGTACTCATTTGAGACTGAGCCAACCTAGGAGAGGCCCAGGACCGGTTCAAATATTCGCCTTTGTATTTGGTCGTGAGCAGGTCGCCGATTCGTAGCAAGATGCGATAACCGCTGTGCCACCGCCCCCCCCCCCCCCGACTCCCGTGTGTGTGCGTGTGTGTGCGTGCGTGCGCATGTGCGGGTGTGTGCGTGTGCGTGTGTGTGCGTGCGTGTGCCGTGTACAGACACGGTACACGCACACATCGCGAGGCGGACGGCAGAACCACAAGAAGCGCGCCGTCCACTTTCGCTCGCAGTCCACTTTCGCTCGCAAACAATAGCGCTTAATATAGAGCAAGGCGGCGGCGAGAGAGTTATGCAACGGCACATCACAACAACACCAAACACCGCTGCCGTAATGCCGTCTTTGAAAAGGAGGAAGGATTATGTTAAGCATCTTACATTTTAAACAATAATTAAATTGTCATGTTTTTTTTATTAACAATTTAATCTTTTGCCCCAGTTTTTATTTGCTTGCGCTATCGGCGTTGCACCAAGTGACAAAGCATCGTTCGGATCTCTCACAGAGCAGCAGAAGCTCCTTCTGGTTTGAGACTGGCCCGTGAAAGCGGACACCACAGAGCTACCTCTGAAATCCCTTACAGTGACCTCTTGCACGACAGTCAAACCGATATATTTATGATTTGGCCAAACTGAGTGCAGAACCAAAACGATTGCGACGGTTTATTTTCGTGTGGTCCTTGGTAACTGGGCTGAGACCATGAAACTTCACTCCAGTGGAGAACCCAATTTAATGATCGGCGACTAAAAACCCGGATTCCAGCCCAGCACCTCGGCAGTGCCAGGCGCGGCGTCTCTGACATCTGAGCACCCCCCCCTCCCTCCCCACCGTCATTGTTTCGCTGCAAAAACACAACCGAGAGATGCACGCAACCGAGCGACACGCGCCAGCATCGCGCGCTGTCATTTGCCGGGACGCGGCAGGGCCTGGCGGTGCCGTCCTTCGGCCCCCGTGCGACTCTCACCACAGTGATGCTGACCGCGTCGTCGATCTGGTTCATGAGGACGCTGATGACGGCCGAAGAGAGCAGCAGCAGAATCAGGGGGTTCTTGAACTGTGGCGGCACAACCACACACGACCACACGCGACCACACACAACAACACGGGACCACACGCAACCACACGCAACAACACGGGACCAGAGTCACTGCCGGCCTCCACAAAATAAGGCTTCTTTATAACACATGACAATCTGCGAATGCACATGTGCAGATGTCCACCATTCAAGAAACGAAAAAGCTCTCATCTCTTACACCTTTAATAGCGCTGTTTGTTGCTTGTCGCTTGGCATTTTGGGTCTTTGGGAAAGGAGATCCCCGTGATTTTAAGTCAAAGTACAACGTGGAGAAGGAGGATGTGTGTTTTTTTTTTAAGGGACCGTGTCAGCAGTGGTATCGTGGGGGTTTATTAGACCATAGTCCACCATACTGCTTGCTCTATGGGTTTGGTGAAGGTGGCTACGGCAGCATAGACAGTAGAGCACAACGACAGATATTGCCGCCCCGCCCCCCCCCCGGCTGCCCCCTTAAATCCAAGCGGCAACCCCCAGTTTCTCAAAACTCGCCACACTCGGTCACCAAGTGGCACGGCGCACGACAGGCGACAGCAACGGAGGGGTGGGGGGGCGCTGACGCCGGGTCGCTTCTCGACGGCGCTCTTGGCTCCGCGCTAATTAAACGCTTCAGAGACCAATTACCCGGAGCTTTCTCGGTGGCGCTTCATGCCGTCGCCACCCGTGATGAGACTCCTCTGTGGAACCGTTCCACCTCGCCGTCACCCCCGCGCCACCAAAGGGCGCGCCGAATGTTTTCGTTCGGCGGAGAGCGCCGTGCAGCGACGAGAAGCTTTTCTGTCTGCCCGTCAAACTTTTTCGCCGTCAAATAAAAAGCGCCGCACGCGACTTAATCCAGACAGCTCGTGCGGCGCCATAAACAGCTTCACTAACGGGGTCGACGAGCAGTGCGGCCTCTCTGCCGAGACCAACACGCTCATTCATCATCATCATCGGCCATCATCTGCTGGGTGACGGGCATCCCCAAGCCACCGTCATGTCTCGCAATCTTGCGATGTAACTATCCGCCTTGTGCCTAGGAACCGGCCGATTTCACCACGAGATGTTTGTCTCTCCTGGCTGCCATTCTCTCATCGTCAGTCTGGAGCACGGCCATCGTCCCTTCCTGCCCAAAGCCCACAAACTTTGCTTGACGGTCACCGCGACGTCTCCAATTCGCGTGCGTTATTTAATCTTCTCATTTATTTTACTCGACTAAATGCCGCGCCATGAGATGCGACCGCATGCATCCATTAAGCCACGCGACTCATTAATGCTAATTTAATCCACGGACGCCTCGAGCCTGTCAATCAAGTTTGCTCGAACACAACTTAATGTGCAATGACATCAACGCGTCGCCACGCCACCGCAGACTCAATTATGGCTAAGTACACAGGCAACTACTCTACGTGGGTCGCTAATTTACGGTCAAAGCGACCCCCAAATTATTTCCCACGTCTCCCGGCGGGCACTCGATCTCACCGACGGGGAGCGGGGCCGGCCCGTGATTGAGCAATGCCCGACAATAACGCCGCATGCGGGCAGCCCAGGGAACTTATAATTAGAGAGCTGGAATTTGCGGCGGCTGCGTTTGCTGCTCAACGTCAAGATTAGCAAATGTCATGGGGTACAAAAAGCAAAATGTTGGGGGCCATGGTCATGATTGGCGACCGCGGCAGGCAGACTAACGCAAATAATGGCGGAGGCCCTTCTCCTCCTGCGCGTCGGTCGCGTCGTGTGGCAGCGTGTGACGCTTTTAACGGAACGGAGAATCGCTGGCCAAAGTTGTATTTAACGTTGTCGCCTTGAAATTAAAAACGTATTTCTCTCGTCTTGTGCGATCACCGAAATCCAACACAACGTGACGCACGCCGCGGCAGAAATGCCGCAGGGCGCTCGTGAAATGTGCCAACGTCGAGAGAAGTTAATTACAAAATGTGAAACCCCACGCACCGAGTTGTTTACACGTGGAGTTCACCCATGTCCTAGCCATGGCAACCACCCTCGGGATACGCGGTTGCGGTAACATTCCAGAAGTCTACGTGACCCAGGCAGCAACGCGGTGCAGTGGTGATGCTCGTTACTAACGGCAAGATTGGCCTGGGCTCGACTCCCGACTTGGGTGCCTTCCAGCGTGGGGTTTGTGTGTTCTCCCGCTGTTTTGCAGAGTGCGTGTGCGAGTGTATGACTGAGTGTGTGGATGATGGAGTTGTGAATAAATGAAGTTTGAATGTGCTCGCACCCTGTTCTGCATGGATTTCCTCCGGGTTCTCCGGTTTCCTCGCGTAACTAAAATAAACATACACTGTAACTGGTGCTGGCCAAACCCATACCAAAGCTGAAGAATCACCTGCAAATTACTCATTTGGGATTACACACAGCAGCAGCAATGCCCCTGACTGAAAAAACTTGAGAAGACCCGACTGAACGGGTCTTGTGACTCAGCGAGGTTCTAGTGGGTAAACAAGCGTAATAACAACAACAATCACAAAATAACCCGGCCTGCTAACATTCAAACTTCCTCCCTGAGAAACTTTTCATCTCAGCCTCTCTGCAGCGAAACGTCAGCCGCACGCACTGTAGCCACGTCATCGTCTGCAGCTCACCGTGTGACCTCCGTCTAACGGCTTGTGGAATGCCGTCGTCACGCCGTCGCACTGTCAGCGAACACGGCCATTGTTTCGTAGTCCACCGGTCACGAGTGCACAGCACACTGCCGCTTGTGTTGTAAAAACAGTGCTCGAATTCCTGTTGAACGGGGTGCGCCGTTTTACTCCTGGTGTCTGGACTGTAAGCCGTAGAATTGAACCCCCTAAAAAAAGAGCCCCCGTTGAAAACGCACAATTGTGCAATCGGCGGTCACGTCATGAAATAACGAATCCATTGGGATATACCGCACACAGCAGTGCAACCCTTCGTGTACGGCAATGGCCCACGGAATACCACGGAGCTCCCTCCGAGGTCCCTCCATGCTGCTTGACGTGTGTCACGCGCGCGTGTGCTTCCTCGCCTATGGTCACGTGATCACCTGCCACTGTTGCCCAAGGCCGCCTGAAACTTTAGTTGATGTTGTAACGGCCAAGTGGCGAGGCAATGAATTACCAAAAGGGGTCACTAACCGTACTTACAGCTTATCTGCCTCGTTACGAGCAATTCGCTTTTACGGCTCCGAGGATCCAAGTTACTACATGTACATAATCGAGGCCCTGCCCGGCACTGATGGCAACGCAGTCACGTGTATTTGCCACCAGACTGACAACAGCTGTGCCAGAAAGCCACCTCATGGCACACCCCACCGGGAGCCCACCGCAAGTTCGCATTATTACTTTTACAAGCGAGGCAGCTTTCATGCACTTTGCGATCCTGCAGATTTCTTTTCGCTCAGGCTTAACGTGCAAACATAAAACATCACGCGCGCCGCCACCACCACCACCGTTCCCCCGCGGCGCCGCAAGCACCCCCCCCCCCCCCCCGCGTACCTGGGAAATGTACTTCCTCCATAGCGGCTCCTCCTCGTTTATCTCAAACTCGTTCCAGCCGTGGTAGGCCCTCCTGTGCAGCACTTCGCTGGTGGCTAGCCCGCTCTGGAGGCTGGCCTGCACGCGTGAGACACAAGACGGCGCCGGTCACAACCTCCCATTCGACGCCTCCGCTGATGCATCGATCGCTCCGGAAGTTTGCAAACGAGTCTCTAAAAGTGAAACGGTCAGAATCCACGGCCCTAATCTAAACATCGGCCTGAACCATGACAATTCACAAAGAGGGTGGGGAGATTATAATCATTACTTTATTATTGTTGTTGTTATTAAGCTGGTTTAGCCAGGAACGCCTCACCGAGTCTCACGACTCTTTTTCAGTGGGGTCCTGCTGCATTGGATCCCGACTTAGTCATTTGCAGGTGAGTTTTCAGCATTGGGATGCTTGGCCAATACCGGTAACACTGTGTCGGGGGTTTTGTTAGCGAATGGAAGGAAAGTGGAAATCCTGGATGGAACCCACGCAGAACAGGGGCAGAACAGAAAAACTCATTCTCAATCCACTGTTGGATGAAAGCCTCTCCATGCCATGCCAGTCATGCAGGCTTTCGGACCGTACATCTCTCCACGCCGGTGAGTGCGGGTTGGAGACCGGAGCGCGAGGCAGAGGGCAGGATGGGCTCCAATGTCAGGAATCACAAACGTCAAGCAGTGCCCAACCCTACTGGATGTCACAGTACAGAAGGGTGCGGGATGAACGGGGCCATTGAACGTCAGGCTGGTCCCGACGGCTGCCCCGAAACGCATTTTACAATCGCTCAGCCAGCATCCCAGACTTGTTGTTTAACTGAAGTATAGAATGTAATACGGGGCACATTTCCCCTCGCGTATCCTACAACGACACTGCCGCACCACGCGTGGCACTGGCAGAACAGCGTTCACCACGCTCCGCTGCAAACGTTACGTTTCACGGCGCTCGGCTTCCACGTTGCAAATTCTTCTCCTACCCCCGTCCCCCCAATCTCTGGAGGATAAGCTCCGTGCGACACACACGGGTTAACGAGACCGTGTGCGTCGAGGGATTATCTTGCCTGCCCATCCTCCACACCTCCCCTACCCCCTCCCCCACGCTCCTCAGCCGACTGTGCGAGAACGCCCTTCCTAGGAGTCCTCACGTCACGCCACATTATCCACACCGCACAACCGGCTCACGGGATGAATGCTTCTTGGCTCTACGATGTTTTGGGGTTGTGCCGCGCGTGGATTCGGCGCCATGCCCGTGGGTTCGGCGCCATGCCCGTGGGTTCGGCGCCATGCCCGACGTTCCTTCAGGACGATGTCGGCGTTCTACAGTTCCCTGAGTAAGCTCCCGGCACTTGAAACCGAATTGAAGAAGCTCCAAGCCGGTAGACCGAAATGTCAGACATCGCGCCAAGCAGCACGCAGAACAATACAAAAACACATCGAAGAGCCACACGGCAGCACAGCTTCCAAAGCCTACGCCGCAGGAGTGGGTCAGGGCATGCGTTAAACCACTCGGCCAACGCCCAACGCCAAGGCCACTGGTTACGAGGTGGCGTCGGTGCAGACGACACCCCTCGGGGCAGCAGGGCTCTGACCCACAGCGCCAGCTCAGCTCTGGGCAGGGAGGGTGGAGGGAGGCTGGGACTCAAGCAGGTGGGAGGGCAGAGAATGAGAGAGAGAGACCCCGACTGCAGAGCGTGACTGCATCTTTAATGCACGATGTGCGGATACCGGTAGCAAGGCGCGTGTAACACTGCCCCAATTTTAGTTGGAGAATGTAATGCAGTAAAAGTGTCGAGTGGGAGCTCGTTGAAGCCTCACGGGGTGAATGGTCAACGTTCGTTGCAGTGCAGCCATCTCAAACTGCCTCTGCGAATGCCTCCGGTCGCTTGCGGACTCATGAGTGAAGGCATAACAACAGGGCTCCATCCAACAGTGAACAAGCTCACGATGTATGCATCGAATCGCTTTTTATACCCGTACGTTGTACGTAATGGGTTCACGTGACCAATCCAGCCACGAGTGGCTGTCACATTCATCACAGTGTAAAAAGTGAAAACCGGTGCTTTAATCGACTTGCAACTGCCCGGGAGGTGAATAGTTACAACTCGACTCACGAGGGAGGTTCTCGCGAATATTAGATCTGAAGACGAATTATGCCACGCCGTGGTTTCTGCTCCTTCAGACGCCGTCATTAAATACGCCGAGTAAGCGTGCCGGTCTCGCACCAGCAGGACCCGTCCTTCCCTCTCCACGCATCCCCCTTCTCCACCGCTGCGCCGCTCGCGCCTCATCAACGTCACCGCTCCTCTCCCCGAGCGTGAATCCCCCGTTCGCTCGGCTCACTTTCTAACGAATGAGGAGGGCGCAGCAGCCAGCGATGGGCAGGCAGGATTATTTAATTAATATCACCCGCCACGTCCCCTTTCCGATGTTGCGCTCTGCAAAGTTTGTCTACTTGAAGGAATGTTTCTTACACAACTCTAAATCCACCACCACGCCACCTCCACCGGACCCGCCCACCACGCCGCCACGTCTCTTTAATTATCACTCAAACTTCACTTTGAACATGAATCTGAGGAAAAACAAGTCGCCGCGCATGTGTACACAGGGCGGTGGCGATACTGGTTAGTCCAGTTTCGCTTTTCACTTCCCAACTCCACTATGAACTGCGACAATTCACCGACATTAAAGCAATTCACCACGTATCAAGCGGAGCAAATAGCCTGGTTAACTTATCTGGATGTATTATTTGGTGCTGCTGCGTTGGCAGTTGTGAACAAGCACAGTTCGGGACGAAGAATGTAAAGTTATCATTCATTCGGACATTCTCCGAGTCACTAAGACCACCTCAAGGCCCTGAGAAAAGTTGCTAAACCTCACTGTGTAAACACAGCGAATGTAAACCCACAGGTGAACGGGCAGGACACTGCTGCGCGGTGAGGGAGGGGCGAGCGCAAGTCAATGAGCTGGAAAGCTAAGACACGTCAGCCTCCGAGGCACGGGAGCAACTCTTGTTGCCGTGTTTGCACAAACACCGCGAGAACAGCGTGTGCGCGTCTCGCATGTCGGCAGCGAGGAAGCGCGACCGCCACAGCGAGCATAGCGCACTACAAACACGGCTGCCCAAGTTGGAATTCCGACCACTGTTAACATGGCGATCATCTTCACCATTCCAGCGCCTCCCCTAGGTACACATACGCCTTAAAAAGAGTCCCTGGTACAGGAAGCATCTGCGCTGACAAAGGCAGCCAGGCGTGGTCGTGGCCACACCACCCCTTCGAACGCCGTGCCGGCCTTCATTGGCGCTCGCCAATGAGCGTTAGCCCCAAAGGCCCATGTAGGCTGTCTTTGCCACCGTTTGTCTTTGTGTGGTAGTGCCACGCGACTCCGGCCTGGCGGGGCTCTGCGCGGGTACCTGCAGCATGCACGCCACCTCGTCCACCGCCAGCGCCGCCGCCTCCTTGGATGGCAGGACGCGGATCATGGTCTCATTCTTGCCAAGTCCAGGCTCGTCTGGCTTGTCCTACAGACGCGCGAGGCGAGGTGGACACATCGAGAAAATACATTAGAGGTAATCAACGACGTATTGATCAGACGATTACTATCAATTTGTTACACCCTCCGATCTATTCGCCTTCCGACGTTTCGACACACGTGCCAAGGGATTGATCTTCTTCAGTTCCTGCTGCGAGGAAGCTTCAAGCACGTAGAGTGAAACTATGGACTGTGATAACTTACACAGCAGTGCTGTGTTCCGCTCACGAGACACACGAGTCATCGTGCACGCTAGATGAGATGTAAAAATGTACAGCCCTGAGCAGCATGTGGGTTGTTTGTCCACACTTCAGCACGAGTCGGCACGGGAGGGCCAGTTTCGATGTCACTTACCACAGCTAATGTACGGTGTGAAATGTATATTGCCGTGTTACATTGATGGCAACGAGGACGAGAAAATGGTCAGATTGAGACGGGTAAAAATGAGGAACATTACAAACGAAAATTTTAAAAGATGAAGTCGTGAATTGACTTGCAGCAATGAATCCTCGACACATTAGTACTGTATTTTATAGAAATCAAGAGAGAGAAGCCAGGTGATATTTAACATTATGAGTTATCTCGAACGTGGCCAACAATCACTTTACAGCTCATTGGATTCCTCCAGGATAACAAAAAAATCCGATTTTGACAATGTAAATTGACGAAATGTACACAGTTCTGTGCAGCAACGAAAATGATTCCGGAACATTCCTGTGAGCTGGGCGCTTGAGCTCAGGCCGGCCCTGCACTTTATTTAAATCGCGACCACAAAACAGCCATCTCCCTCGCCGCAGCACAGCTGACGTGAAAATCCATCTTCCACCGTCGCATCCACCACCCCATCACAGCCACCACTCAATCACGTCCACCACATCACCACGTCCACCACATCATTATACACACCGCCCCATCACACCCACCACATTATTATACACACCGCCCCATCACACCCACCACATCATTATACACACCACCCCATCACAGCCACCACTCCATCACGTCCACCAAATCACCACGTCCACCACAACATCACAGCCACATCATCACGTCCACCACATCACCACGTCCACCACATCATGATACACACCACCCCACCACCGCAGCCCCGCTGGAGCCCAACGCAGTGGCCAGGCGACCGTCTTACGCGCTTCCCCGATCCACGGCGAGGCCGGCGAGGCATCCTCTCCCTCCTGCTACCCCCCCCCCCCCCACGGTCTCTCTTCCCACTCGTCTCTTCCCCCTGTTGCTTCTCCTCCTGCTGCTGCTGCGTCTGCCCGCACCCAGCGCCCGGCTGGAAGCAGCCGCGGGGCGCGGCGCTTTATAGGCGGTCGGGGGCGTCACGGGAGAGTCGCTAATTAATCACCGCGGGACCGTGGGACGCCCACCAACATCCACCCCCGTGCTGCTCGCTCCTTCCCAGAACCCCCCCGCGGCTTCAGTGTCCCATGGCAGCTCCAGTCTCCCCGAGCCCCATGTGGGAGCGCAATGCCCTCCCTGTCACGAAACCCCGCGACCCCCAAGGGCTCGACCCCGATGGCTTTCCCGGGTCCCCCGGTTTGACCCGCAGAGAATATCAGAGCCCGTCGCTCGACGCCACTTTAAATCACACCACTCCGAGCCACTCCACCTCCCATCAACCCCCCCCTCCTCACCACTCCACCTCACATCAACCCCCCCCCCCCTCCTCACCACTCCACCTCCCATCAACCCCCCCCTCCTCACCACTCCACCTCCCATCAACCCCCCCCCCCTCCTCACCACTCCACCCCACCAAGAGAAGATCCCCCGTGTAGCCTGAACAGACTGTAGGGGCTAGAGCTGTTAGCGAGCACCTATGAAGGCCAGAACGGTACACGAGAGGGTGGGTGGCCATCACCTCGCCCGGCCGCCTTTGTCTCCCGAGTGGAGATGTTTACACACCTTACCGGGTACTCATTTGAGGCCGAGTCGACCTAGGGGAGGCCCAGGACCGGTTCAGATAATCGTCACCGGTGTTGGCCGTGAGCGGGAATCGAACTCGGGTCGCCAGGTCCGTAGCGCAGCGTAGCGCTAACCGCGACACTACCGCTCCCCATGACACCACCAGCAGCAGCACCACAACAACAACAACACGCCACCACAACAACAACAGCACCCAACCCACGCACCGCCACACACAACACCGCCACGCCAGTCGCACCTTGCGGAAGCCGCCCGCTCCTCCGCCCCCTGCCTGATCGGCTCCCCGCGGTCCCCACGAGGCCGCAGCGCGCTTCGCAAGGCCGACAAGCCGGGCCAGACCCCCTGCCATGCTGCTCACAGAGGCCGCGGAAGGCCGCGCGGTCCCGGGCGAGCGTCTATCCGAGCGCCGAGGCCCCGCATCGCGCCGGGGCGCGGACCACCTCGGCTCGGCTCGGTGTTTCCCCGGCGGCCGCCGACGTCTCTCCCCACCACAGGGACCGGTGGCGGGGCCCGGTGCGAGGGGTCGGGCGGTCGGGCGGTGTGCGGCTCCGGTGGCGGCGGCAGAGGGGCTCTCTGGGGCCGCGTGTCTCGGTCTCCCGCGGGGATCGCCGCCGCTCCACTTCGCAGTGTCGCTCGACACGAGATCGAGAGCTGTGGTCGATTCGATTCCCGGCGAGAGAATTCGCAAATCGTCGAGATGGGGAATCGATTCCTGCCCTGCTTTGTTCCCGATCCCCCCGTGCTCACGTGGGGGATGTTTGTTACATTGTGTACTTTGTGTATGAATCTTGACTTTGTGTATGAATCTTGACGTTGTGTAGTTTGTGTATGAATCTTGACATTGTGTATGAATATTAACGTTGTGTACTTTGTGTATGAATCTTGACTTTGTGTATGAATCTTGACATTGTGTATGAATATTGACGTTGTGTACTTTGTGTATGAATCTTGACATTGTGTATGAATATTGACGTTGTGTACTTTGTGTATGAATCTTGACTTTGTGTATGAATCTTGACGTTGTGTAGTTTGTGTATGAATCTTGACATTGTGTATGAATATTGACGTTGTGTACTTTGTGTATGAATCTTGACTTTGTGTATGAATCTTGACGTTGTGTAGTTTGTGTATGAATCTTGACATTGTGTATGAATATTGACGTTGTGTACTTTGTGTATGAATCTTGACATTGTGTATGAATATTGACGTTGTGTACTTTGTGTATGAATCTTGACTTTGTGTATGAATCTTGACGTTGTGTAGTTTGTGTATGAATCTTGACATTGTGTATGAATATTGACGTTGTGTACTTTGTGTATGAATCTTGACATTGTGTATGAATATTGACGTTGTGTACTTTGTGTATGAATCTTGACATTGTGTATGAATCTTGACGTTGTGTAGTTTGTGTATGAATCTTGACATTGTGTATGAATATTGACGTTGTGTACTTTGTGTATGAATCTTGACATTGTGTATGAATCTTGACGTTGTGTAGTTTGTGTATGAATCTTGACATTGTGTATGAATCTTGACGTTGTGTACTTTGTGTATGAATCTTGACATTGTGTAGTTTGTGTATGAATCTTGACATTGTGTATGAATCTTGACATTGTGTACTCTGTATATGAATATTGACGTTGTGTACTCTGTGTATGAATCTTGACATTGTGTATGAATCCTGACATTATGTACTCTGTGTATGAATCTTGACATTGTGTATGAATCTTGACATTGTGTACTCTGTATATGAATATTGACGTTGTGTACTCTGTGTATGAATCTTGACATTGTGTATGAATCCTGACATTATGTACTCTGTGTATGAATCTTGACATTGTGTATGAATCTTGACGTTGTGTATGAATCTTGACGTTGTGTATGAATCTTGACGTTGTGTATCGTGAGGCCGCAGGAGGAATCCGATGAGCTCTAAAGCTCTTTTTCACAGACCTCCAGTCGGGGTTGGGGTCGGAATGTCACAGCCACAAGCCGCACAGAACACGACCGGAGTGCAGAGTATAGGGAAGGTTGGACAGGTCGCCTTGCGCGACCAAAGTCATCCGTAAGTTTGTGTTTTATTGTTTGCGTGACAAACCTTGGCTGTGTAGGTGGTAGCGGGTTTATTAACACAGGTATATTTACGCGAACTAACCACCACCCCCCAAAAAAACTACATATATAGGAAATGTATTTAACACTTTAAAGGTTGTACAAATAAAACTAAACATTTTTGTACCTTGCCATGGTAAGCCCCACTGAGGTATTCGCTTATTTTTGAGAATAACCCTGGCCACATAAATAGCGAAACGAAGTGGCTTATCACGTGGACATTTACAGCAGCCACATACTCTGAATAATCGAAACTGAACGTGGTAATTCGTGGGACTGGAACACGTCCCTTGACTGGAGCAGGGGTTCCATCAGAGAGACACGGTGATGGTGGTGAAGGTGGTGATGATGGTGATGGTGGTGAAGGTGGTGATGGTGGTGATGGTGGTGATGGTGGTGATGATGGTGAAGGTGGTGATGGTGGTGATGGTGGTGAAGGTGGTGAAGGTGGTGAAGGTGGTGATGGTGGTGAAGGTGGTGAAGGTGGTGAAGGTGGTGATGGTGGTGAAGGTGGTGATGGTGGTGAAGGTGGTGACGGTGGTGAAGGTGGTGACGGTGGTGAAGGTGGTGACGGTGGTGAAGGTGGTGAAGGTGGTGACGGTGGTGACGGTGGTGATGGTGGTGAAGGTGGTGACGGTGGTGAAGGTGGTGACGGTGGTGACGGTGGTGAAGGTGGTGAAGGTGGTGACGGTGGTGAAGGTGGTGACGGTGGTGAAGGTGGTGAAGGTGGTGACGGTGGTGAAGGTGGTGAAGGTGGTGACGGTGGTGACGGTGGTGACGGTGGTGAAGGTGGTGAAGGTGGTGAAGGTGGTGACGGTGGTGAAGGTGGTGACGGTGGTGAAGGTGGTGAAGGTGGTGATGGTGGTGAAGGTGGTGAAGGTGGTGACGGTGGTGAAGGTGGTGAAGGTGGTGATGGTGGTGATGGTGGTGATGGTGGTGAAGGTGGTGATGGTGGTGATGGTGGTGATGGTGGTGAGGTGGTGAAGGTGGTGACGGTGGTGAAGGTGGTGACGGTGGTGACGGTGGTGAAGGTGGTGAAGGTGGTGAAGGTGGTGAAGGTGGTGACGGTGGTGAAGGTGGTGAAGGTGGTGAAGGTGGTGACGGTGGTGACGGTGGTGAAGGTGGTGATGGTGGTGAAGGTGGTGACGGTGGTGATGGTGGTGAAGGTGGTGACGGTGGTGAAGGTGGTGAAGGTGGTGAAGGTGGTGATGGTGGTGATGGTGGTGATGGTGGTGATGGTGGTGAAGGTGGTGATGGTGGTGACGGTGGTGAAGGTGGTGACGGTGGTGAAGGTGGTGACGGTGGTGAAGGTGGTGAAGGTGGTGAAGGTGGTGACGGTGGTGACGGTGGTGAAGGTGGTGACGGTGGTGAAGGTGGTGAAGGTGGTGAAGGTGGTGAAGGTGGTGACGGTGGTGACGGTGGTGAAGGTGGTGACGGTGGTGAAGGTGGTGAAGGTGGTGACGGTGGTGAAGGTGGTGAAGGTGGTGATGGTGGTGAAGGTGGTGATGGTGGTGAAGGTGGTGACGGTGGTGAAGGTGGTGAAGGTGGTGACGGTGGTGAAGGTGGTGAAGGTGGTGACGGTGGTGACGGTGGTGAAGGTGGTGAAGGTGGTGAAGGTGGTGAAGGTGGTGACGGTGGTGAAGGTGGTGAAGGTGGTGAAGGTGGTGACGGTGGTGAAGGTGGTGACGGTGGTGAAGGTGGTGAAGGTGGTGAAGGTGGTGACGGTGGTGAAGGTGGTGACGGTGGTGACGGTGGTGAAGGTGGTGAAGGTGGTGACGGTGGTGAAGGTGGTGAAGGTGGTGACGGTGGTGACGGTGGTGAAGGTGGTGACGGTGGTGAAGGTGGTGAAGGTGGTGAAGGTGGTGAAGGTGGTGACGGTGGTGAAGGTGGTGAAGGTGGTGAAGGTGGTGATGGTGGTGATGGTGGTGATGGTGGTGATGGTGGTGAAGGTGGTGATGGTGGTGAAGGTGGTGATGGTGGTGAAGGTGGTGATGGTGGTGAAGGTGGTGATGGTGGTGATGGTGGTGATGGTGGTGATGATGGTGATGGTGGTGAAGGTGGTGATGGTGGTGAAGGTGGTGATGGTGGTGAAGGTGGTGATGGTGGTGAAGGTGGTGATGGTGGTGATGGTGGTGATGGTGGTGATGATGGTGATGGTGGTGAAGGTGGTGATGGTGGTGAAGGTGGTGAGAGCGAAGAAGTGGAGTTGACGGCCGTGACTTGCAGTGGCGAGTTCGTGGGTGTGTGGGCGAGTTCCATTCCCGCTCACGGCCAACACCACCGGTGACAATTATTTGAACCGGTGCTGGGTCTCCTCTAGGTCAACTCAGCTTCAAATGAGTACCTGGAGCGGTGTGTTAACATCGCCACTGGGGAGACAAAGGCGGCCGGTCGTGGTGCTGGCCACCAACCCCCTCGTGTGCCGTGCCGGCCTTCATAGGTACTCGCTAACAGCACTTGCCCCTACAGAAGTCTGTTAGAGGCTACACGGGGGATCTTGTTGTGTCCTGCAGTGTTGGTGGCCCGAGTCCTGAACCTGGGTGGAGGAATCCACGAGGAGTGAGGTTGCAGTGAACCGTGACCATGGAAGTAGCGACAGAATTGGTAGAGATGATGGCAGCGGCTTGGGAAGGCCTTCACCCAGCAGTGGATAGACCAAAGCTAATGATGGTGCGTATGGATTCTCGTGATTGTCGGGCTTTACAACTTCTTTTGAACTGATATATTTGGTTTTTACCCTTTTATCTGGCAACAAAACTAACACCTTTTTATTACAAGGAGTCATGTTTGCATTGACCACAATACCTGCAGTCGGAATGCAAACAAAAAACATAACTCTGATAATGTATACATTGTCCTTGAAATTGAAAAAAATGTGTCAGTTTTGTTGCTATATAAAAGGGTAAAAACCAATTATCATATTTTGCTACTGGCAAATGAGGTTCCAATGGTGTAAATTATTTCGAACTGTTCGTATACCATCATCATGGTGCGAAAAAAGTTCAACATACAAGCATTAGAGAATCAACTCTTCTTAATACTTGTAACTCCGCTTAACTTCTAATGAACATCATCGATTTCTGAATCGGAAGATGCCAATAAACCCAGGAGTCTCGTCCTGGCCGGGGCCTAATGCATGACGTCACACGAGCGGAACTCCAAAACGCGGGATTTTGACGTCATTGTGTACTACCATAGAGTATGACGTCCCCATGTTTACAATTGGCCACCGTGCGGGTTATGACGAAAACTAAGTACGAGCGGTGGCGACATGACGTCATACAGCTTGTCACGCCCTCTCATTCACTCTACGGAAGGCCAGAGTGACGGTGAAGCGATAAAAGCGATTTGTAAAATACTTTGCTCACCCAAAGAAACTTTTCTGGCAATAAAAGTTGTGTTAAGATGTAAAAAAAAAATCAAACTGAAACCTGACAGTGGCATTGTTTTTCTTATTCTTATATTTTGATATACTGGCAAGGGATGTCCCATGACGTGGATAAATGTCACTCTCCAACACAACTGGTGTGTGCTGTTTTCGCGACAAACCTTGCTAAGGGGGCGTCCATAAATGACGTCACGCGATTTTGGACGATTTTTGACTCCGACCCTCCCCCCCATCGTCACATGACGTCACAAAAAGTCAGACCCCTCCCTCAAATATGACGTCACAAAGCTCTGCCCCCCCCCCCCCCAAAAAAAATAAAACACGCTTTAAATCGCTTTAAACTATTGTCATTGTAGTGCGCATTTAATGTGGCGCTGCACTCTGATGTTGTAGGAGAAAACATCAAAAAGTCAATTTAAACACATTCCTGTGGAGGGAGCTGGTAGGAACGTCGGGTTGCTCGGTCAATAGCCTGCAGGGTCAACGGCGGCGTGGTGTATTCCGCAAATATGCCCGACTGTGAGGGCGGGCACAAGCCGGCGTGAGTAGGTTAAACGTTGAGTTATATAAGGGCACCACGGGGTGACCAGCCCCACCCCACCCAGCCCCACCCCTCCCACCCTCCCCACCCAGCCCCACCCCTCCCCACCCTCCCCACCCTGCTCCTCCCCACCCTCCCCACCCCTCCCCACCCTCCCCACCCATCCCCTCCCCACCCTCCCCACCCAGCTCCTCCCCACCCTCCCCACCCTCCCCACCCAGCTCCTCCCCACCCTCCCCACCCTCCCCACCCAGCTCCTCCCCACCCTCCCCACCCAGCTCCTCCCCACCCTCCCCACCCAGCTCCTCCCCACCCTCCCCACCCTCCCCACCCAGCTCCTCCCCACCCTCCCCACCCATCCCCTCCCCACCCTCCCCACCCTCCCCACCCAGCTCCTCCCCACCCTCCCCACCCATCCCCTCCCCACCCTCCCCACCCAGCTCCTCCCCAACCTCCCCACCCAGCTCCTCCCCACCCTCCCCACCCAGCTCCTCCCCACCCTCCCCACCCTCCCCACCCTCCCCACCCAGCTCCTCCCCACCCTCCCCACCCATCCCCTCCCCACCCTCCCCACCCAGCTCCTCCCCACCCAGCTCCTCCCCACCCTCCCCACCCAGCTCCTCCCCACCCTCCCCACCCTCCCCACCCATCCCCTCCCCACCCTCCCCACCCTCCCCACCCAGCTCCTCCCCACCCTCCCCACCCCTCCCACCCTCCCCACCCAGCCCCTCCCCACCCACCCCACCCAACACGTTCTACTCCTCACACTAGTGATGTCTTAGCAGCGAAAGTGGCCCCCCTTTGAAAATGAGTGAAGAACACCGCACTTTTATTTGTTTCATAAGGATACAAATTCTTGGCTTTTCAAGAATATCAATGTATTTTATTACATGGTAATTGTAAACGCACCATTAATCAGCTTTCGTGAAGTTCGCGATTAAAAGTGTAGCATTACCAGAGGTTCACCTTTTAATCATTTAAAGATGCAATTATGTAATGTAAGCTCGTCAATTTTTAACTCATCCCAAAAATATTAAAAAGTCAAAACGGTTACGAGTGTAACTTGCATAACATATTTTAAGTGGCAAGAAAACATCCCGAATGTGAACACTTGTCCGGATGTTCCTGACGAGTCTTGAGATGATGAAACTCGCCGCATCAGCCAACCACGCCGCTGATACTGCACCGCGTGTGTGTGTGTTAGTGTATACGTGTGTGTGTTAGTGTATACGTGTGTGTGTGTTCGTGTATACGTGTGTGTGTTAGTGTATACGTGTGTGTGTGTTAGTGTATACGTGTGTGTGTGTGTGTTAGTGTATACGTGTGTGTGTGTTAGTGTATACGTGTGTGTGTGTTAGTGTATACGTGTGTGTGTGTGTTAGTGTATACGTGTGTGTGTGTTAGTGTATACGTGTGTGTGTGTTAGTGTATACGTGTGTGTGTGTGTTAGTGTATACGTGTGTGTGTGTTAGTGTATACGTGTGTGTGTGTTAGTGTATACGTGTGTGTGTGTTAGTGTATACGTGTGTGGTGTTAGTGTATACGTGTGTGTGTGTGTTAGTGTATACGTGTGTGTGTAGTGTTAGTGACGTGTGTGTGTGTTAGTGTATACGTGTGTGTGTTAGTGTATACGTCTGTGTGTGTTAGTGTATACGTGTGTGTGTGTTAGTGTATACGTGTGTGTATGTTCGTGTATACGTGTGTGTGTGTTAGTGTATACGTGTGTGTGTGTGTTAGTGTATACGTGTGTGTGTGTTAGTGTATACGTGTGTGTGTTAGTGTATACGTGTGTGTGTTAGTGTATACGTGTGTGTGTTCGTGTATACGTGTGTGTGTGTTAGTGTATACGTGTGTGTGTGTTCGTGTATACGTGTGTGTTAGTGTATACGTGTGTGTGTGTGTTAGTGTATACGTGTGTGTGTGTTAGTGTATACGTGTGTGTTAGTGTATACGTGTGTGTGTGTTAGTGTATACGTGTGTGTGTTAGTGTATACGTGTGTGTGTTAGTGTATACGTGTGTGTGTTAGTGTATACGTGTGGTGTGTGTTCGTGTATACGTGTGTGTGTTAGTGTATACGTGTGTGTGTGTGTTAGTGTATACGTGTGTGTGTTAGTGTATACGTGTGTGTGTTAGTGTATACGTGTGTGTGTGTTAGTGTATACGTGTGTGTGTTAGTGTATACGTGTGTGGTGTTAGTGTATACGTGTGTGTGTGTTCGTGTATACGTGTGTGTGTTAGTGTATACGTGTGTGTGTTAGTGTATACGTGTGTGTGTGTTAGTGTATACGTGTGTGTGTTAGTGTATACGTGTGTGTGTAGTGTATACGTGTGTGTGTTAGTGTATACGTTGTGTGTGTTAGTGTATACGTGTGTGTGTTAGTGTATACGTGTGTGTGTGTTCGTGTATACGTGTGTGTGTTAGTGTATACGTGTGTGTGTTAGTGTATACGTGTGTGTGTGTTCGTGTATACGTGTGTGTGTTAGTGTATACGTGTGTGTGTGTTAGTGTATACGTGTGTGTGTTAGTGTATACGTGTGTGTGTTCGTGTATACGTGTGTGTGTTAGTGTATACGTGTGTGTGTGTTAGTGTATACGTGTGTGTGTTAGTGTATACGTGTGTGTGTTAGTGTATACGTGTGTGTGTGTTCGTGTATACGTGTGTGTGTTAGTGTATACGTGTGTGTGTTAGTGTATACGTGTGTGTGTGTTAGTGTATACGTGTGTGTGTTAGTGTATACGTGTGTGTGTGTTAGTGTATACGTGTGTGTGTGTTAGTGTATACGTGTGTGTGTTAGTGTATACGTGTGTGTGTTAGTGTATACGTGTGTGTGTTCGTGTATACGTGTGTGTTAGTGTATACGTGTGTGTGTGTTAGTGTATACGTGTGTGTGTGTTAGTGTATACGTGTGTGTGTGTTAGTGTATACGTGTGTGTGTGTTCGTGTATACGTGTGTGTGTGTTAGTGTATACGTGTGTGTGTGTTCGTGTATACGTGTGTGTTAGTGTATACGTGTGTGTGTGTTAGTGTATACGTGTGTGTGTGTTCGTGTATACGTGTGTGTGTGTTCGTGTATACGTGTGTGTGTTCGTGTATACGCAGCATCGCCCAGGTGCCTACACCGCCACGCCGTGATAGGAGAGCGCAGCTGTGTGCATCACTTGGGGAGCGGTCGTGTGCGGTTAGCACGCTGTGCTGCGAACCTGGCCACCCGGGTTCCCGCTCACGGCGAACACCAGGGACGATTATTTGAACCGATCCTGAGCCATCCCCTAGGTTGACTCAGCCTCAAATGACTACCTGGTGCGATGTGTAAACATCGTCACTGGGGAGACAAAGGCGGCCGGGCGTTGTGTTGGCCACCCACTCCCTCGCGTGCTGTGCCGGCCTTCATAGGTGCTCTCTAACAGCACTTGCCCCAACAGTCTGTTAAGGCTATACGGGGGATCTTTGTCTTTGTGTAATAGTCGTGGTAGGTTGGATACATCAATTGTGTTGAACAGTATCTATCAATGTCGGTACATATTCGTGGGGCAAACGCGAACGGATAGGACAGCCCGCGTGTAACATCAAACCCACGAGTGGGGTCCTCTCGCTGGGGATTTCGCTTTCTAGTCACGTGTCCAATCCAGTCGACAAGTGACCCGAAAAACATCCGGTGAGAAATGAATCCCCGTGTTTTTGAATCGCGAAGCCTCGGCTTCACAATCAATCATTTGGTGGCAGTTGTGCTGAACCCCCCTTTAGGAGTCTCGTGTGATGATGTCCGGGCCTCGTTGGGAGCTGCGATCTGGCTCAAAATACGAGGGAGGTGACGCGCCGTTATGCAAGGAATTTAATTGCGTATTTTAAATTACTCACATACACATTAGCATGTAAAGTGATGACATAATTGAGGTTAACACGTTCAAACATTAATGGCAACTCCACCCACGTGCTAAACAGCAGGCGTCCGTGGGGTCTCTCCTGAACTCGTGCCTCAACAACGTGTCAGAGGCTCCGCCACCGGAGATCTGACGAACCTCGACGCGTCCGCGAAGGCTTCCCCCAGCAGCAGCAGCAGGAGGAGGAGCAGCAGGAGAAGCAGCAGGAGAAACAGCAGCGCCCCGTGGGACTGTGCACGAGGGAGTCCAGCGGCGTGAGCGCACGGAGCTGCGGACCCGCCGGCCCGAGTTCGATCCGCCGCCAGGGCTCACGTGGGTGGCGAGTGAACAATCGGACCCGGTCCCAGGTGGCCCCCTTCTTCACCAAGCCGACGTGTTAGACTCACCGCAAGTCCAGATTCGTGAAGATTCACCAACCCTCGCGAGAACCTGTGAAGGACCCCACGGGACACGAGGCGGTGGGTGGAGTGTCGATGTTGACACACCGCACCAGGTACTCATTTGAGGCCGAGTCGACCCATGTGCCTCCACCAACTCGTACTGACCATCGGGTTGTGCTCAAGTAGCCTCCACGGCCCCCACAGCCCCCACGGCGTGTGGATGCCCCGCATGCAGCAGTGGGTTCGATGAGAGTGAGTGGCACTTCTCGGAGCCCGTGGTGGTCCTGCGGTGCCACCTCGTGGCGAGGCCGGGGAACTGCAGGCGCTCGCGGCGCGACCTCGTGGGTCGTTGTCTTCAACGAAACTATTTTTTTTATTTCACCAGGTAGGGACCACTGAGCTGTAGAGCTCTTTTTCAGAAGTGACCTGGCCACAAATGATAGCTCAACGAAGTGGCTTATCATCATGTGGAAATTTATAGCAGCCAAATACTCTAAATGGATATTTCGAAATGCGCAGGGAAAAACATGAAGATCGGGAAAAATAATCCACACGACCACGAGGAGAAGATGCAAACTCCAAACATACAGCAGGCATCAGGGTCGGGATCGAACCCACGGCCTCCTGTATACCCAGCCGAGGTAGTCCACATCTCGCCACCATGGCACCTTTATGGCTCTGAGCACTTCAGTGTGAATGTCTCTGTGTGGGGGGGCAGTGGCTCACTGCGCTACGAACCCAGCGACCCAAATTCAAGTCCCGAACTGCTTACGACCAAAATACCAGTGGACTCAGTACCTGGTGGCGTGTGTAAAACACACATTGCCACGATCGTCACTTCATCAACACATTATGTCGTCGTATCTCTCATATCTACTCGTAGTTACATAAAATCGTATCTTAAACCGATCTCACACTCTGCCTCTGATGCCGTAAAACGCCGTGCACCGCGGGCCCCGGTGACGGCGCGGGCGTGACCTAGAGGCGTTACCTGGAGTGCGTGACCTGGAGGCGTGACCTGAAGGCGTGACCTGCGTGCGTGACCTGAAGGCGTGACCTGAAGGCGTGACCTGCGTGCGTGACCTGAAGGCGTGACCTGAAGGCGTGACCTGCGTGTGTGACCTGAAGGCGTGACCTGAAGGCGTGACCTGAAGGCGTGACCTGCGTGTGTTACCTGGAGGCGTGACCTGAAGGCGTGACCTGCGTGTGTGACCTGAAGGCGTGACCTGAAGGCGTGACCTGAAGGCGTGACCTGCGTGTGTGACCTGAAGGCGTGACCTGAAGGCGTGACCTGAAGGCGTGACCTGCGTGTGTTACCTGGAGGCGTGACCTGAAGGCGTGACCTGAAGGCGTGACCTGGAGGCGTGACCTGAAGGCGTTACCTGAAGGCGTGACCTGGAGGCGTGACCTGAAGGCGTGACCTGGAGGCGTGACCTGAAGGCGTGACCTGGAGGCGTGACCTGAAGGCGTGACCTGAAGGCGTGACCTGAAGGCGTGACCTGAAGGCGTTACCTGAAGGCGTTACCTGAAGGCGTGACCTGGAGGCGTTACCTGAAGGCGTTACCTGAAGGCGTTACCTGAAGGCGTGACCTGGAGGCGTTACCTGAAGGCGTGACCTGAAGGCGTGACCTGGAGGCGTGACCTGAAGGCGTGACCTGGAGGCGTGACCTGAAGGCGTGACCTGAAGGCGTTACCTGAAGGCGTGACCTGAAGGCGTGACCTGAAGGCGTGACCTGAAGGCGTGACCTGAAGGCGTGACCTGAAGGCGTGACCTGCGTGTGTTACCTGGAGTGCGTGACCTGGAGTGCGTGACCTGGAGTGCATGACCTGGAGTGCGTGACCTGGAGTGCGTGACCTGCGTGCGTGACCTGGAGTGCGTGACCTGGAGTGCGTGACCTGGAGTGCGTGACCTGGAGGCGTGACCTGCGTGCGTGACCTGGAGTGCGTGACCTGGAGTGCGTGACCTGCGTGCGTTACCTGCGTGCTCGCGCTGCTTCACGCACTGCCCGCGGTTGGGCAGTCCGAGGGCCGGGTTGCCCGCGCGGATGATGTGGCACTCGTAGCCCGTGGGGCACTGCAGCGGCACGTCGCCATCCTCCGTGGTGCTGCACGCCTCCGCTGTGCCGCACAACACACACACACCACGCATCACACACACACACACCACACACACACACACCCCACGCATCACGCACACCACACACACACCCCACACACTCTACACACTCCATACACCCCATACACCCCACACACTCTACACACCTCACACACCCTACACACACCCCACACACTCTACACACACCCCACACACCCCACACACTCTACACACCTCACACACCCTACACACACCCCATACACCCCACACACCCCTTACAACCCACACAACCTACATATCCCACACACGTCAAGCGCACCTCCTCAGTAGGCCTTGACGAAGTCCCCGGGAGACGAACATTCATTCGCTGCGCGTCTCGTTAGGGGTCTGATTCGCGTGTTGTGAACCTTCGATCTTTGGCACGAATCTGCCAACATCTGGCGTCGCGTAATTGGAATGAGCCCTGGTGCAAGTGACTGCAGATTTAGTCGAAAATCAATTCGTAGGCCGGTGCCCGGGTGCCTTCTGGCCTGTGGTCCCCGTCGCAGTTGCACCGCCTGCACACTCGAACTTCCTCTGGGATCACTTCTTAAATGGATCTTTGTTCGTCACAGCAAGAGTAGGTACCCACCGCCACTGCCACCGGGAGTAGGGGTTGTCGCATGGCGTTCTGTTCATCCTCAGAGCTACAACTTGGCCAACATTAAGTTCAAAAACGAATGTAACGTCTTGGCTATGTTTGTGCGCGCAGTCATTGGCAACTAGGCTAAGCCCATCAACTCACCGCACTCGGGACCCCCCATTTAGCCCGTGAATCTGGGTGGTGGCAGCGCGGTGGCGCTGCAACCTGTGAGCGGCGCGGGGCCCTCTGCAGCAGAGCGCTCTCACCTGGGAGCACCTCCTCGGGCCCGTCCAGCAGCCAGCCGTTGCCTCCCAGCCAGCGCGGCTTCGGCTGCACGAGCCAGTCCAGCACTGGGACACAACGTCACGCGCCGGACTCGAACTCAGCGCGCGGCAGCAGGTCGTGGGGCTTACCCACTGCGCTTCATTTCTCACTGATCTCTGGGAGGCTGGAGTAGGTGGCAGGTAACGAGCAGTAGCCACTGCCGTAGCGGAGAGGGGGGTATACTGGATGTGGTGTGCCGGGTTGCTGACTCGGAGAGATCCGGCTAAATTGATACCCCGATCGTATGGTATTGTATCATACCGTATCAGAGACGCGGTATAACTCTTAGCACACTGAAGCTTGCAATCCGGAGGCCACGGGTTCGATTGCATCATCCCAACAGCTGTCACGTGTCTTAAATCCCCTTGCCTCTGTCCACCCGGCACCACAGTGAGTCGGCGGCCAAGTCACGTGTGGTGGGGTCAGGCGTGGGCACTCCCAGCCAGTCAAGAGGGGCAGCTCTGCAGAGACACCTCTCGCGAGGGCCACTTCCCCCGGCAGTGGCCTGCGCGAGAGCGATTGCAGGGGCTGCCCCTTTACCATCACCAGGCGGCAGGGTCCGCGCATCGAGCCCCCTCGCCGCCGCCGCGGGGGATGTAGGGTGGGGGCAGGGGGGATGGAGGGCGGGGAGGATGTACCGTGGGGGCGGGGGGGATGGAGGGTGGGGGCGGGGGGGATGTAGGGTGGGGGCGGGGGGGATGTAGGGTGGGGGCGGGGGGGGGGGGTAGGGTGGGGGGGTCACCTGGGGGTGGCGGCACGGGCTCGAGGCAGGCGTAGCTGCAGCCGTTGTAGCAGCAGCGCTTCGCCTGCCCGCACTCGGAGTTGGCGCGGCAGGTCGCCACCTCGCAGGCGCGCTCCGGGAGGCTCTGCGGCGGCGGGGGGCAGCGGTCGCTGCGCTGCTGCTGCTCCGGCGCCTCCGCCTCGTAGTCCTGGCCCTGTGCGGGCAACGACACGGGGGGGCGGGGGCGCGCGGGACGGGCACACGGGGCAGGGGGGCACACGGGGGGGGGGGCACACGGAGGGGGGGGGGGCACACGGGGGGGGCACACGGGGCAGGGGGGGGCACACGGGGAGGGGGGGCACACGGGGGGGGGCACACGGGGGGGGGCACACGGGGGGGGCACACGGGGGGCAGGGGGCACACGGGGGGGGGCACACGGGGGGGGGGGACACGGAGGGGGGGGGCACACGGGGGGGGGCACACGGGGGGGGGCACACGGGGGGGGGCACACGGAGGGGGGCACACGGAGGGGGGGCACACGGGGGGGCAGGGGGCACACGGGGGGGGGCACACGGGGGGGGGGGACACGGAGGGGGGGGGCACACGGAGGGGGGGCACACGGAGGGGGGGCACACGGGGGGGGCACACGGGGGGGCACACGGGGGGGAGGGGCACACGGGGGGGGAAGGGGCAGGGAGCACAAGCGGGGGAGCACACGGGGGGAAGGGGCAGGGAGCACACGGGGGGGAGGGGCACACGGGGGGGAGGGGCACACGGGGGGGGAAGGGGCAGGGAGCACACGCGGGGGAGCACACGGGGGGAAGGGGCAGGGAGCACACGGGGTTGGGGTTGTCCGCGGGGTCGTGCATGAATAACGGTGGTGGGGGTCACGCCATGGCCAACGTGAAGCAAACTCTCAACAAATGTTTCACGACAAGGAGCCGGGTGGTGGCGGTGGGGGCTACGCTGCTGCTGCTGCTGCAGCTGCTGCCTGTGATCCAGCGCCGTGGAGTCAGCAGCACCGAGCGTTGGTGGATCACCGCACACAAATGTCTGCGGAGGCCTCGCTTCACCGTGGGCGTAGAGGAGGTGGAGCCTGGCTCGCAAGGAGAAGGCTGTCACAGCAAGCGGACTAGCAGCCATCTGTTTCCGTCTGTACGGAGATTGCATTGGTCCCCTCGCGCGCGTAGGTCTTCTCCGGGTGCTTAGGTTTCCTCCCGCATGTAAACACTCCGTCGTTGATTGGCCGATGACACCTTCGCATGTAGAGAACCGCAGAGCCGGGGCAATTGTTGTCAGCGCCGGCTCCTCACCGCCGGCTGGCTGCTGCTGCTGCAGCTGCTGCTGCTGCCGCCGCCTTCCCGCTGTTCCTCGCCTGTGGTTCCTCTCTCGACGAGCGCGGGCGGCGCCGCGTTACGAGTTGAAATTAAAATCGGAATGAGTGTCCATGTGATTTCCTTTTGTCTACTCACCTACCGTGGCCAGCGTAATGAAGTGTGGGCGATTAACAACCCCACCCTAATGTGACCCACACGGCATTGCGAGGCCTCATCCAGCAGTGGAGTGGCAGCAGGCTGTGCCCCTGCTCCCTGCGCCTCTGCGCGTTTTGTTGAAGTCCCCAGGAGTTGTATCAACAGGCGAAGCACCCTGAGGGGTGTTAGTTTCAGGTCCTCAATGTAATGCACGTTGAACTTCTTTCGCACCGTACCTAGCCAACCGTGATAATCGCGCTAATCGGAGGTGCGGGGAAAGGAAAACAAACGAATTAATAATCCCACTCCACGCGTCCCACTCGTCATCGTCATCAGGCCTCGTCGCTTCGCCAAGCCAAACAGCAGAGGGCGCCAGTGGCCAGCGCCCGATGTCAGTTTCCTTATTCTATTTCTGACTCTCTCGTTTAGGCTGCGACGCCTTCACCGAGTCTCGTGACTCGTGCTCACGAGGATCCTGCCAAGTTTCGCAGTGGGCAGCAATGAGCTGCTTTGTCTCGTCCAACTTAGCAAGTTGCTGTGTCAGGTTTTTCTACGCACAATGGCCTACTCTTCCAATCACGTCACGGGAACTTTAATAACCACCATCACCAACATCACCACCACAGTATTAACCAGGGCAGCCGCTGGACTGAACTGTAAAGCTCTGCAACAATGATGGTCTCAGAGAGGTCCTCACGGCTCTGCGGGGCCACCACAACGAAGGCGGCACGGGGGCGAATTGCAGGAGCCTCCGGTGGGATGGGAGTGGTGGTGTTGAGTGGTGTTGAGTGGTGGTGTGGAGTGGTGGTGTTTAGTGGTGTTGAGTGGTGGTGTTGAGTGGTGGTGTTTAGTGGTGTTGGTGTTGGTGTTGAGTGGTGGTGTTGAGTGATGGTGTTGAATGGTGGTGTTGTTGAGTGGTGGACTGGTGGTGTCGAGTGGTGGTGTCGAGTGATGATATTGATGGCTCCTAGCAGTGGCGTGTGAACAATACGACTTCCCACTGACGATTCACGCCCGCGTTTCGTGGGAGACACGGGGCGAGACTCCCGCCTGCTCGTCACGCCGTCGCCTCTAACCGTGACCCTTGTCCGGGTCGTCGTGGCTGTGACCTCTGTGTTGACGTCATGGCCTATATCTTTGATCTCCACCGCTCGTGGTCTTGGCTTCGTGACTTTCTATCGTGGCCTTGAACGCTGTACGTGCACCTTCATGTAGTGACCTCTCGATGTGCCCTTGAAGCGGTGGCCTCCTTGCAGTGACCTGGAGGTCGCAGCCTTGAGGTAGCAACCTTCTGGCCGTGACCCGTAGGTCATGACCTCTGGCCGAATGCGTTGAGAAGGATTGAACAAATGGAGCTTTTGTCTGAGTTATTGTCTGAAGACTCTGAATGTTGGATAAGCATTAAGGAGGAGGAGGTAAAGCGTGTAAAGTCATGGACAAAACATGCGTCTTTAATTCATATGAACGTTGAGACAAAGTTGGAGAACCAAAACAAAAATACCCTTTGGTAAAAGTGTCCTGCTAAATATGCTGAGAATGTGGCATTCTCAGAAGGTTCCCAGAAGGTTCTTGCTGACAAAGCTTGCTTTGTGTTGAAAGCCCCCCCCTGTGTGCGAGGCAGGGTGGGGCGGTGGCGCAGCGGTTAGCGCATCGAGCTGTAACCCGGCCACCTGAGCCAGATCCTCAGCCAGGGCCAGTGAGTGATATCTGCATCGGGCCTGAACTCCTCTCCCTCACCAACCGGCACCGACCTGCATGTGCCTCAACAGTTCTGTTATGTCATCATAATCACCACTATCGGCAATCCATGATCCGCTGCTGGATGAAGGCTTCCTCAAGGCGATGGAACAATCCACCTGGAGCCTGGTTTTCACGCGACCTGATGTTTAACCGCTCCGTATCCCTCCTCTGCGGTCCTCTGGAACGCGTGCCCGTTCTTTGGCAGGGCACTCCTGTCATCTCTATTTATTTGTTGACCGTCTTTGTGTAACGAATCGGCCGCCAGTGTTTATAGAAGCGCAGGCCAGGCGGCCCTGCGGGGGGGGGGGGGGGGGCGATGGGGGGGGGGGCATCTGGTCGTGGCTCTGCAGCCAGCAAATATGTAAATAAGCCTCGAAATACCGAACTCCCTTTGAAGCCCCCTTAATTTACGATCCCAAATGATGATAGTGGTCACAGAGCGCCCTTCATCATTTCTTAAACTACACCCGGGAACGGGCCTCGGACTGAGTAACGAGGCTCCTTTTCAGCAGGGTCCTGTTCAGGGTTGCTGGGCTGCTATAGTAGCAGCCGCTGCCATAGCGAGTATGAATGGATGTGGTGTGCCGGGTGCCGAGCTGTTTCCCGGGTCGCCTGCGCTGCTCCCTCCCAGCGGCCGCGGGGAATCCCCGCGAGAAGAACCTCTGGGCTCGCCGACGAGTTGGTTGGGCTCTAGGGTCCGTCGGGAAAGTCGCGAGATGAGCTCACAGAGGAGTTTCGCGTGGGGAGGGGGGGGGGGATTATTAAGGGTAGAAAAGCCACGCGAAGGGCGGGTTTGGAGAGTGAGACAGGGAAGGGATGTGCTGTGAGAGGGTGAATGGTCTAGAAGGAAAGGAATAGTTTAGAGGAGGGGATGGTCTAGAGATGGAAGGGAAGGTCCAAAGAGGGAAGGACCCAGATTAGGAGGGAAGGAGCTAGCGACGGGAGACGAGCGCGTGTCGAGGGAAGATTGGAGGGAGCGCCTGCACCCTGGCGGGTCCCGCTTCTCTCGCGAGGACTGCAGGCGGAGTGAGAGGGGCCCCCTGGGCAGGGCGGACAGACCGGTTCGTGGGGCCCCGGAGGGGCGAGCGGTCACGGGCCGTGCGTGAAGGGGCCCGGGGCGGGGCTGAGACGACCACCAGAGACTGCCTCGATGGCCCCTGTGCAGCACTTACACTGCAGTAGTATATGCACTCACTGCGATATAGACTGTATGCAATATAGACTGTATGCAATATAGACTGTATGCAATATAGACTGTATACATGAAGAGCGGCTGTGGGGCTACGATGGAGCAGCAGAGGGCAGTGGAGCAAACTCCATTGTCGCACTGTGCTCCTGCGCATTCGCGTCTGCTCCTGTCCGCCTGTGCCCACCCGGCGAAGAATAGCCAAATCGCCCCCTCGGGGGGAGGAGGCCCTCATCCAGCAGTGGATTCGTGACAACGGGGCAGAGTTGTACTACACTAGGGTCCATCGGGAGCACATTGAGGTAAACTGATCTGGGACAACATCACGTTCATCGCGATGCGTCTCATTGAAAGTGTGCACGTGTATGTTGAACTTATTTGGCGTCGTGCGTAGCCAACCGTGCCCTGCGCTTACCTGTGCGAAAAGCCTCGGCTGATCCTCGGCTGATCCTCAAGACTCCTTTTCAGGAGGGTCCTGCCACCTTCTACACAGTAGTACTCGAGGCATGTGCTGCCAATCACACCGATGAGACTTTGGCTTCGCGTGGAGGAAACCGAAGCCCTTGTCACGGCGCACAGATCGATTCAAGAATCCACTGGCTGCACGTCTCCTGACCACCCGCAGCCCAAGCCTATAACACCTGGCGATGAGTTTGCCCGTAACAACAAAAGCGCAAGCGGCACTCACGTCTGCGGGGCCGGCTCGGTCGACCACGCGGAGGTGCAGGGCGCCCTTGGGGGCGTCCCGCGTCCCCGCTTGCAGCACCCCGGGGTGCAGCCGGACGCCGGGAGGCAGCAGAAGCACCACCAGCAGCAGCAGCATGGGGAGGCAGCCGTGGTGGTGGTGGTGGTGATAGCGGCCGCTTATAGCTGAAGCTACGGACATCGCCATTCATCCACGCGGGGTCTTCCCGGCGGTGAGGAGTTGATGTGTGAGGAAGAGGATGAGACGAGGGCTGGGATCCGTGTTGCGCTCGTCACACCACGTTGACCATTGATGATGATGATGGGATGAGGAGACGGGGAGGACACGTCCAGACGGAACGGAAATCCTCGACCTGGTCGGCGAGATCCGGTGAATGAGACACGCGGTTGAGCCACAAGCACGGGTCGGCACCACCACCACCACCGCGGACGCGCTGCGCGAGGCGGGCGGGTTGGAGGCACCGGCTGGGACGCAACGGGTCGGGATGGCACACGCGGTGCGGTGCGACCGCCGGGAGGGGGCGGGGGAGGTGGAGAGAGGAGGCGGGTCGGGAATAGAGGGGGGGGCTATCTCTCGGGGAAATCGCGGCACGAGGCGGGGTAAGAGAGGGACAGGGGGGAGCGGGGAGCGCGGTGGAGGCTGCTGGTGGTGGTGGAGGGTGGAGGGTGATGAAGGAGGCTGGCAGAGATGGAGGAGGCTGCTGGTGGTGGCGGGGGAGGCTTGGGAGTGGTGGAGGTGGTGGTGGGATGTATTTGTGTCGGGGTGCCCTTGCCGAAGCACTTCGTCGCGTGTGTAATTTCACTCTGGCGCCGGAGTTGTCCGCTCCGCTTATACCCCGCGGCGTGGCCACCGTAACTCACGCGATGGCGCGTGAGTTACGGTGCCCTCCTCGGTGTCCCGTGCCGCCCATGACCCGTGCCGCCCATGACCCGTGCCGCCCATGACCCGTTCCACTCATGACCCGTGCCACCCATGACCCGTGCTACACATGACCCGTGCCACCCATGACCCGTTCCACTCATGACCCGTGCCACCCATGACCCGTGCCACCCATGACCCGTTCCAATCATGATCCGTGCCGCCCATGACCCGTGCCACCCATGACCCGTGCTACACATGACCCGTGCCACCCATGACCCGTTCCACTCATGACCCGTGCCACCCATGACCCGTGCCACCCATGACCCGTTCCAATCATGATCCGTGCCGCCCATGACCCGTGCCACCCATGACCCGTGCCACCCATGACCCGTTCCACCCTTGACCCGTGCAGCCTATGACCCGTGCCGTTCACCACTCCTCAAGAGACAGCTCCCGTACACGCGGCGCGGCTCTCACCTTCTCCACACAAACAGCATCACGTTTCCCCGCTCTCCCCTCGGCCAAGGAACCCCTCCCCACGCCCCCCATTACCGCTACCCCCCATCACCCCCCTCTCGCAAAACCCACCTTATCACCCCCCACCCCATCACCCACCCTCACCACTGAGGGTGCAGGTGCTGCGATTGCACCGGAGCCTGCGGGCTGGAGGGGCCGGCGCGCCGGGAAAGGGGGAGGGGCGGCGATTCTGTATGGGAGCGGGGGGGGGCATTTAATGAATTGGACCTGCAGGGCCATCGAGACCTCGCCGCGGCGCCAGTGACCAGTGGTGTCATTAGAACCACCGTTGAGGCTAAATAAAAACATGGCACGCCAATTTGGTGTTCATTCCAGCGTCTTACACTATCATGGTCTTACACTATCATGGTCTTACACTATCATGGTCTTACACTATCATGGTGAAGGATGGTCAAATGACCACCCCTCCCCTCGTCACCACCGATGACTGACGCAATTTGAGGACTTTGATTCGCAGAGACGTGTTGGAGGCTGCTTGGGGGGAGGCCTTCATCCAGCAGTGGATGGGCCATGGCTGTTAATGGCTCTATTGCAGAGGACATTGCGTCTCAATGAACGCGTAGATGGTTATACAGGAGATTGATGATGATGACTATGATGATGAAGGGTTATTGGGGCCCCACTGCTTCTCTCCAGACTCTGCAGAAGTAGGGAAGTTAGGGCAACAGCCCCTCCCACCACTCTCTCGGGTCGAGTAATTGAATCAATGTGGGAATGCGGGAAGGTCACACTCCAGATGTAATAGCGGCAATTACTGCAAGAAAACAATAAGACGTATAATAAGTGCATTTATATCCGGCGGTGGCGCATGGAATAAGCAAACTAAGCAACAGTGGAGAGTCTCAACATTGCTCAAGGAGCCCCGCATTCATAGAAATGGCAGTGGTTCACCAAATTAGCATCTCGAATTCAGACCTTGATAAACATAGCAAGCCAATTCACATTAACAACTAATTCATATTCCAACTCTTCTCTCGTCGCATTAGCCCTCTCTACCCTGGGTCCGCATTCATGGCGTCTCGCTACAGTCCCCATCGCTTTGTCTCCACGTGTCGTCATCTCCTTCTTGGAGTTATTGCATTGAAAGGGAGCTCATAAAACGCTGTCTGCATCGGGCCTCCCAAGTTAGCCAGCAACTTCACTGTGCGCAGCAGGAAACAGCGGACTGCTTGCTTTGTATCACGGTGGCGAGAAGTCAACTATCCTCGCCTGGTACACAGGAGGTCGTGGCTTCGTTCCCGACCCCGACGCCTGCTGTATATTTGGAGTTTGCATGTTCTCCCCGTGGTTCTGTGGATTTTCCCCCGGGTCCTCCGGTTTTCCCTTCACATTTATAAACACGCGTTTAGAGCATTTGGCTGCTATACATTTCCACACGATGAGCCACTTTGTTGAGCTATCATTTGTGTCCAGGTCGCTTCTGAAAAAGAGCTATATACGGCAGCTCAGTAAACCTGACCTGGTAAATAAAAATAAAAGTTTAGTTTAGTGTCGCAGTGCCATTGTCCGTGTGCCCACCCGAGATCCTCTGGGATGAATGTCCACACACGATGCATTTTAACTTCCCCGTCAGCCGGCACGCTTCGTCGGGCCAATTTGTGTCCATGGCGTGCAATCACGCGCGAAGCTCAGACGAACAAGCAAGCTCGGGGTACACGCAGGGCCGGACTGAGATTGTGTAGGCTCCTGGGCTACAAGTACTGTGAGGCCCCCAGTAATATTTTCAAAAGGAAAACAAAGTGAAATAAAAATAGAATTGTATTTTTACAAGGCTAACAACAAGTAAAATTCGACATTCACAAAATGAAATAACTTTTCACTTCATCTCTGGAGGCCCTCCAGCTGGCGGAGGCCCCTGGGCTGCAGCCCCTAAAGCCCCCACGTGCCTTAATCCGGCCCTGAGTACACGTACAGTCCTCGAAATTCCACTCAACATCAATCAGCCGTGCTCAATTCCACTGCTGGATTAAAAAAACGAACTTCCTCCCCCCCGAAGCCGTCGCCGCCACCTCTCACGATCCCGGGGTGGAATGACAATCCACGCAACCCCTGCACTCGAGCCGATTGCATCGCTGTCCTGTGGCTCGGTGACAACCACCTCAACCACCATCGCTGTCCTGTGGCTCCGTAACAATCCCCCGACCAACATCGCTCTCCTGTGGCTCCGTGACAATCATCTCGACCAACAGCATTCGAGAAATTCGCCAGGGACGCACCCTGCAGGGCGAGTGTGGACGGAGCTTCAGTGGGTGACTACCACCACCACCAGTCCACCACCACCAGTCCACCACCACCAGTCCACCACCACCAGTCCACCACCGTACAAGAGCAGAGTCATGGGTAGGCAGCAGGCAGAAGTGCATAAACGCATTGTTGTACCGTACTTCTATGCCACTTACACGGCATTATTATTATGATGTAAAAACGTGTACAGCCTGGTTTGTCAATTCACTTCTGGGAGAACGCCTCCTGACGCTGACTCGTTGGGGAGCGGGGGGGCATCCACTCAGGAGATGGAGCGAGTGAAGCCACTTCAATGTTGAAGCTACTTCAATGTGTTGAAGTCACTTCAACGTGTTGCAGGTGCTGGCTGGATGGATGGGCGTTTCGCAGGACCGTGAGTGGTGGCGACGGCTCATCCAGCGGTAGACTGACCATGGCTGATTTCATTGTATTCGTGCGTTTGGCAACGTGGTTCAGGAGCTCGATGCCGAGGTCCTGCTGCTGCTGCTGCCCACGGCGAGATGGCCTCGGCAGCCAGAGAGAGAGATGGAGTTGGTGTTGTCGTGTCGCTGTGCCCTCTCCTCTGCTGCAGGAGCGCAGACCACAGCGGGTTTAACATCCAGTCCAGAGACTGGGTTGCATGGCTACTTTTGCACGGCTGTGGCTCGTGTCTTTCGTCTTCCGTTACAGAAGATGAAAAGATGATGGTGATGAAGACTTAAAAAATTAAATAAAATATTAATGTCTCGGTCCGTCCCGGGTCTCCCGGCCGGGTCGCACCCCGCGCCTATCCGGACTGCGCTTTCCAATCGCGCGCGGGGCGCCCCGCGTGTCCGCGCTGGGGAATGTGGAGGCGCCGGGGTGGGGGTCAGGGGTCAAGGGCCGGGCGCTCTGTTTTGGTTCCAGGGTTCGCGTCTCTGTCTCTCACCACCTCCTCCTCCAGCTCCACCTCCACGTCTTCGCTTCCCATCATCGGCGACTTCTTTTGTTTTGGCTCCGAGTCGGGGAAGCGGAAAGGGGGAGCGAGGGGAGGCAGCGGCCGAGGCGGCTGCTGCTGCTGCCGCCGCCGCCGCCGTCTCGACGGTCGGTGCGCCCAGCAGGCCGGGCCTAGGCCAGACCGACTCGCGGAGGCCCCGGGGCCTCCTCCTCCTCCCCCCTCGGGCCTCCCTCGCGTCTCTCGGCGTCCCCCTTCCCCTCGCTTCGTCGTCTCCCGCCCGCCCGCCCGCCCGCTGTTCTGCCACCAAGTCTGGACGCGTCTTCTCTGGCCGCTGTGAGCTCGCGTAGGCCGCGACAGCTCTTCCCGAGCAACTCCGTGTCCCTTCCTCGCCTCGCCGCTCTCTTCTCTCGCCGCCGCGTGTGTGTTGCTTGTATGTTGAACCTCTTTCGCACCGTACGTAGCCAACCGTGCTAATCGGGGGTGCGTGGGGGGGGAAATACGACAAACTAAACACACGAAGCAGCTGTAAGCCGCGTGACATCGCTTGTGTCACGAGATGGAAGACCCCGGCCCTTCCCTCGGCCGTGTGTAGCCCCCCCCCCGTTCCACTGGGCTCCTCTCCACGTCGCTACAGCGGCGTCCTTCTCTCGTCGTCCTCTCGTCTCGTCGTCCTTCTCTCGTCGCCCTGCGACGCCTGAGCAGTTCCAGGTCGTGGGGATCCCGCGTCTCCCTCCTAGTCCCAGCATCTCCTGCTCTGCTGTTCATCTCTCCTCGTCGTGCCTTCAGCTACAACGTTCTCGTCATGGCCGTATAGAATATGACTTGTGACTGTGCGCGTCTCACGGCCCTGTCAGTGTGTGTTCATTTTAACCCTTCTATCGCGGCGTCTTCTGCCAGACTCCTCAGTAGAAATGTGTGTCCTCTACGATCCTCAAGTGATGAGGCCACGTTTCCCCGGTCATGTCATCATCTCCCGCCACGTCTCGTGTTGTGATGTGTT